CCATGCATTGCCCTGTCCTGTACTCACTGAGCAAAACGCAAATCAATCACTTTGAATTCAGGGTCCCGCCCCCCCTTAACAAGAGACATACATACTTGTGTTTAGAGTCCCTGCTCGAGCTGCCCAGTTTTGGAGTCTTAACTGTTTCAGATACCCAAAAATGATAATTTGGTCAAAAACTTTTTTGATACTTTAATTTAACCATGAAATTACATGTTAGGCAGAATGTCTATGCTTCTGTTTTTATCCTGTACAAGAACAGCGGATATGGATTTATACTGCCAATCTCTAAAAAGGACAAAAACCTACCATAAAAATCAAAGTCAATTGGAATATATGTGACTGCAAATAGGACTTGGATTGTGGCATGTCAGTTCTATTTTTCACTTTCCTTGAATGCTCAGCCTTTCTGCCTAGCATCTAATTTTGTGTTTCATGTGAAGAAAAAATATATTTATATACATGAGGATAGATGAATTATGACAAAATGTTGTCAACAAAATTAGCAAAAGTGGAAATTCTAGCTGCGTGTTTTTGTCCTCCACACTAATTAAGTGCAAACCTGCAGCCAATATCATTGGTCAGCTAAATCATGCAACAAAAGTTCAACGTTCAGAACAATCATGATGAATCTGATCGAGCAGTAATCAGGATGTGCTACAAACACAATACTACCTATGACAAAATGTTGTCAACAAAATGAGCAAAAGTGGAAATTCTAGCTGCGTGTTTTTGTCCTCCACACTAATTAAGTGCAAACCTTCAGCCAATATCATTGGTCAGCTAAATCATGCAACAAAAGTTCAACGTTCAGAACAATCATGATGAATCTGATCGAGCAGTAATCAGGATGTGCTACAAACACAATACTACCGTTAGGATTAGGGTTGTAAGTTTAGTATTTGTTTCAGGCAGTCAGCATTGTGGTTGAGGAATGAAATCTTTAGAATTGACTGCAGAGTTGGGTTTGCACTCACATATTCTAGGTTGTTGTTTTCTTTCTGCAGGGATGATGAATTGATCTTTGTTTTTTCTCAGACTCAGCATCATGTGAATGACCTGTATGAAGATCTCCGAGATGGACATAACCTGATCTCCCTTCTGGAGGTCCTCTCCGGAGAGACGCTGGTGAGTGTTACCAAACGTCATCCTCCGCTAATGCAGCTAAACAACCAGTCAAGAGAAGACCATCTCTAATCCCATTCAACCTCCAACCTTGCCTTCAGCCTTCACACAAAACAAATCCAAAGTCCTGATCCAGACCTCCAGGTCAAACACCGCACCATATTTATGGGTGATGCCTTGGAATACGTCTTCAAATTTGAATATTTTTACGTTTTGTTGAATCACACCCAAAACACTGGGTTCAGATATTCCAGAAAAATTCTTGACATCTTCCCATCAAACTGCTTAATCTCTTGGCTGTAGCTAAGACATTAACGTCACTCTTTGGCTTTTCTTTTGAATCTGTGTGGCTCCTCCTTGACTCTTTCTCTGCCTATCATTCCACCTTCCTTTGACCCTGACCCACCGTCTCTTTGCTGACCTTTGCCCCTTGACTTCTGTCTGCTCTCTTTGCACTTCTCTTGCTGGTCAAGCCGAGGGAGCGGGACGTTGTGCGCAGCGTGCGGTTGGTGAGTGATGCAGATGCTTCATTGGCATGGGTCACTCACTGTGGCTTGCTGTAGTCTTGTTTTCATTTGTTTCCCACTCTTATTAGAGTTACTTTGATGCTGTCTCAACACTATAAAATGCTAGGTATCTCAGCTGATTAAAGTAATAAGGGTAATTATTCAGCAGGTTGGTAGCTAAATGTTGAAAGACTTCATTAAGAATTCTAAATTTAAAGATTTAAAAGATTCAAGATCTGTTTGCAAAAAAACATTGCTGTCTTAAGCATGTTTTTTCTTCTAATTTTAGGGACTTTTATTTTGAAGGTTTACTATAAGGAATAGCATTACAGTAGCCGTTTCATTTACTCTCATTCAACAGTTTGGCAGCTAAATATTGAAATATTTATAATAAAAAAAAAAGATTTAAAATCCTAAGCTATGTTGTGCAAAACAACATTACTTTCTTAATAAAGCATGTTTTTGCTTCTAATTTGAGGGACTTTTATTTTGGAATTTGACTGTTGTGAATAACATTACAGTAGCCCTGTTTCATTTACTCTTAATCGGTTCCGCTTGCGCATGACTGACGCTGTTTCTCTTTATGACATCCTCTATCTGAACCTCGTCACAGTTTGGGTGTGTGACCGATACAGCGAATGACTGATATCTAAGTGACTGCCAAATAAATCCACATTTATTTTGAAGCAATATATGTACAACTGATTATAAGTGCAGAACAACACGTTTGTGCAAGACGTGCTTTTTTTAAGTTAAAGTTGTTCAGGTCATAAAAACATGTTTGCAAACTCTTGGGGTGTGCTTGGAGAGTCAGATGTTTTGAGTTCTTTCCTATAATGCAATTATTGTTTTTTTTTAGCATTCAGTAGTTTTTAGCATTCATCCACAATGTTATACCATGTTACATCCCTAAAGCCACAAGACCATCACTTCTGTCAAATAGTCTTGAAGACCCCATGAAATGACTCGACGTGCATTTTATTAATTTTTTAAATTGCATTATCTGTGTTGACGCATTTCCTACTAAAACAGGAAGTTGGGGCGTGGCATATCAAAGCAGGTATTATTTGTAGGGGGTGAGCTCATTCTTGTGTGGAGCTTATTGGATTTGCATATGCTCCTGATCGCAACATGAATCAGAAAATAAAAACGGTGCATTTTAAATGCAGATTTAGTTTTTCTGTCACCTAGCATACAGATGTCCTCAATGCTAGCAGACATGGACTAAAAACCCCAAAAACTCAACGTTTTGATTTCATGGGGTCTTTGATGTCTTTTCTTAGCGTGCTCATAAATATTGTAGCCTCACTACAAGGTCCTCCTTGTTCTTCATTCTTTCTTCATTTAGACCTTCCGAAGAAGCTTCTCTGGGCACTCAAGGACGCGTCTCAGTCTCATCCTTTCTGTCAACAATGTCATGTGTCTTATTCCCCCTCTGTCTGTCTCCACAGCCTCGTGAGAGAGGACGCATGCGATTCCACAAACTGCAGAATGTGCAGATAGCACTGGATTTCCTCCGACACCGGCAGGTACGAGAACATCTCAACTTACAAACTATATTAAAAGGATAGTTTGTCCAAAGATGACAGTTGTCCTTATTGTCCTTATTCAACCTCATTTGTTTTCTTTCATCCATGGATTACCAAAGGAGACATTTAGCAGATTGTCCTAGCAGCTCCCTTACATAAAGTGACCATATTTTGGTCACAGCAAAACTGACCATCAAAGAATTGGGTAACACTTTATTTTGATGGTCCCTTTTGAACATTCTGTTGACAATAAGTAACGTTGCACCTACATGTCTACTTACTATCATCAGAGTATCAGTAGACTGTTTGCTTAATATCTGCTAACTCTTTATTGTGATGGTCTCCCAACAGATGCTCTACTGACTATAATTAACTTTGCAAGTACGTCAGCTTATTCTAACCCTAACCCTACCAGTCTACTAATACTCTAATGAGAGTAGACATGTTGGTGCAGCGTTACTTATAATCAACAGAATGTGTTAAAGGGACCATCAAAATAAAGTGAAGCCAAGAATGGTAAAAAAGCCATTTGCATCATCAGTCCTGGTAACAATTCACTTGCATGGTGTGGAAAAGAGCAAAATGGGTATTTTGCTTTAAATGCCTCCTTGAGTGTTTCACGGAAGTAAGTACTGTAAGTCATTTAAATTCATCTTAAACTCAAATGTGAAATGCTGTTCTTCTCTGTAAATCACAGGTGAAGTTGGTGAATATCAGGAACGATGACATTGCCGACGGGAACCCAAAGCTGACATTGGGTCTCATATGGACCATCATCCTCCACTTCCAGGTCTCCTGTTCTGTCAGTGTTGAGTTCCCATACCATTTACCTCCTCCTCTTCCTCCTGGGCTCCAAATCGGTCTGATCAATCACTGGTTCTATTCATTCTTTGGGTCATATTGATTTCCAATCAATCATCAACAGGGTCAATCGTTTTTGCTTCAAACCAGTATCTGCCTCATGCAATAAAATGCTTTTGTTGTTGTTGTTGTTTTAAATCCTACTTTAATCAGGATTATCCATTATGATCCAACAACAACAGTCTTAGTATGTGAAAATGAAGCAGTTTGTTTGATTCTCTAGACGAATCTGTTCAGTGTCTTAGGCGCCATGAGGAGTCTCTGATCTAATCTATTTTCATAATCTAATATCCAGGATGTTTTGTAGATCTAAATTATGTGAACCTGTTGTTCAAGGTGTTCAATTACAATCACACCCTGATTTATTCCACCTCAAACAATTAAAAACAATACAAAAACTCAGTCACAATACAGCTGCCAGGAGACTGACACAAATTCAGCCAGTTGTGCTTCTTGAGTATGTTCTTCACGTGTTTGGGGGAATTTAATTTTCTTTTGATTGATCAAGTTGGCAGGACTTCTGGTTTGTACAGCAGAAGTAGAGAGGTTTATGTAGAGGTGTGGCGTATGGACTCCTGCCCACTTTCTCAATAAATAAAAGAGTTTTCTCTTTATGGGGGTAGCCTGACCAAGAAGATAGTCTTATGACCAGGGATTTAGATGGTGCCAACCTTCTGCTTAAAGATTATTGTGGTTTTGCAACCTCCCATGTGCTTGGCATTAAACAATATCTAATCATTGCTTAACATAGAGGGTCTACATATCATTTTTAAAAGTAAGGACAGAAAAGCAGCATATTTACAAGATTAAGTTAAGTTTAAATATCATTAGTTTAAGCCTAAACCTTTTCCTCAGCTTCTTCATCTTGTTCTATTGAGCTCCCCCCGAATTCTAAACAGAATCATGCATTTAACTTCAAACAAATGACAACATTTGTTTATTTATTTATTTATGAATGAATGAATTAATGAAATGTTGGAACACATAAAACTCATAAACTCAGGACTGTCTGTCCTGGATAAACTGGGCATTTGGTCACCATAATTTGTTCAAATCGAAGCCTTAAAACAGTGTTTGTGAGTAACTAAAAGCAGCTGTACTACATCAGTCATTGTGAAAGCGTTATCAAAATAGCACCGTTTTCAATAAGAAGCTACTTTTCTAACATGTAATATTGTAGCGAGAAAAAGCGCACTATTTTCAATGGCATGTTGTATTGCACATGCACAATTACAATACTGAAAAGCAATATTCAAACACGCTCTTCTAGTCTACTGAATTATTCAGACGGTTTGTTTTGTAACTGATTCATTGAAATCAGATCAATGTTGCCAGAAGTATAGTTTTTGTCTTTTTTTTGTAGACAAATACATACAAGTATCTAGTTTAATGCTTGTTTTATTAACTGGATTTAGTCTAAAAATGTTTTTCTGTTTGAGATCTTCATTATTTTTGTGGCAGATACTGTTGTTTAAATGCTTCAAACTGAGCTTATGGCTCGGCAAGCTACAGTTTATATATATAGCTTACCCAACACTGACCGTAAACCAATGCCCAAGCTGATTGGGTTTTCCTTTATAGAACTGCATTGTTTTTGCTACATTTTTTCATGGATTAAGTATAATGACATGTCTCAGGGGGGTCCTAGGAGGTCAATGGTATTCATTGGGGCTGAATTGCTATTGTAATGCATGGCTATAATTTATCAACCACTCTGATTATTTATTGATTTGCGTATGATAAACATATGGCTGCTGCTACCGCATGTCACTAAATCCATGCAACTAATTTTTCTGGGCTGGCAGATTTCAGATATCCAGGTGAACGGTCAGTCAGATGATATGTCAGCGAAGGAGAAGCTGCTCCTCTGGTCTCGGCGTATGGTGGAGGGTTACTCTGGTATCCGCTGCGATAACTTCACCACTAGCTGGAGGGACGGAAAGCTCTTCAATGCTGTTATACACAAACACGAGTAAGTGCCTCTGTACTAAATCTCAAGATTGGGGTTTGGCTAAAGTAGTAGTTGTCACCAGTGCATTGTCGCATAATTCATCTTTTTTGGTGTTTCTTGATATTTCCTTGAAATATTTATCATTAGTCTCATAGGTACTCAAAATTACAGCCTTCTTTTAGCAATGTTGGAATAAAGAAAAGTGCTACCTGACTCAAGTTTGAGCTTCACTCTTGATCAAACTTGTCCTTGATACCATGGAGTAAAGTGTTCGGATCTGAATTCAGCACATATTTTTGTGGAGATAAATGAGCGCAGAAGAGTCAAATCAGTGCACATGACAGACAGTTACTCGCAGTCTTCTAGAGTTTAATCAGCCTTTGACGTTCAAACATTTTAAAGGACTTTTCTGTAACACTTTACTTAAAGCCTTTATATATATAATGCATTGTAAAAGTAGTTTTAATGCATTAATTATGCCTTGTAATGCACATTATAATGCATTGTATGATCTCATGAATAATTGTAACCACAGTTATAATACATGATCTATTCATTGGTACGCATTTAGAAAGAATAATGCATTAAAGAACAAGAAAAAAAAAACCTTCAAATATTATCATGCATTTTAACTTTGGTTACAGTTATTTTTGAAAAGTATGTTATGAATGCATTATACATAAAGCCTTTAAGTGTTACTGACAGTTCTTTTTTAATGAATACAAAAAGAGATATAATGCAGAGTTTCTGAGCTGCTCAAGAAACAGTTATGAGATATACTAGATGCACCTTGACACTCTATTTTCAAGTGTATGCAAATGTAAATGAGATTTGAGAACTACAGCAGAGGACATCTAGAAGCCTAACTAGAAAGTAGATTTAATAGCTTGAAGTCAGGATGTTTTAAATAAGAAGTAGTAAAGGTAAATTGCAGTTTTAAGAGCTAAAATAGATTAATGTAATTTTGAAGCAGTTTTAAGATCAAAATTCAAAGTTGTATGGACTGCTTTCCTTAAGTTTTTGCAGCTTGTTGGCACAAAGTGATTTTATTGCCTTGGAAAGAGCAGCATGTAGATTCTTAAAAATATCTTCTTTTGTGTTCCACGTGGGTTTGGAAGGATATGAGCATAAATTAAATGAATGATGTAGTTTTTTGTAAGTGGGAAACAACTGTCCACATATGCCACACAGATCATGAAAGCAGTTTTTCTGTAATGAGCGTGTGTTCTGTATGCAGACGCAAGGACAAAAGAGAGCAGGAAGATATTGAATGAGAAAATAGTCTTAGATGAAATGTACAATGAAGACTGAAAGACAAATACCGTGAGGTGTGGTGCCTGTCGAAGTGGAGACAGGCCTCCCCGCAGGGCAGCTTTCTCGAAACGTTAACATGTACCTGCAAAGCCTGGGAACGCCCAACTGACCCTGACATTGGATTTGATGCTTTTGTCAGGTAGGAACACCCATAGGATTTGTCAGATCTGCCTCCTTTCAGAAACGAGGAAGAGGCTTTTACAGGCACCACCTGCATGACAGAAAACAACACTGCAAGTACAGTTTGCTTTCTTTTTTGGAGCTCTCTGGAAACAAATGGATTTCAGAAACTGAAGAGTAACTAATACCATGCAGAGGAGATATTAATATTTGGAAATTCAAGAGCTATATAATTGGAATTGCATTGCGTGCAAGCACATTTTGGGCCACGATGATGCTCAACATGAAGAGGCGTCTGTCCTTTAAGAAGCGTCGCACCAGCTCCAGCAGCACTGTGGCTTCTGCCAGTGACGTGGAGGACCGTGTGGTCATGCTGTGCGAGGATATTCCCTCCGAGGACTCCGGCCGTGGCTCCCAGAGTCCAGGCGCTCGCTCCATCGGAGACTCTCAGACGGGATACGGGCCGGACTGGAGCTCAGGGAGCCATTTACCAGAGAGAGACCTGAGGCAGATCCATGGAGGCTTCAGGACGGACGATCTGAGCATGGTGGCAGACGTTCAGTACCACGCTGGAGAATTTTATGCCATGCCTTCCAGCATACATTTCACAGAGATGCCTGGGTGCTTGCTTCATTTATCACACTTTTTTTATGGTGCAGAATCTAAAGGTTTTGATGTTTGAATCATTAAGTGTTAGTGTGTAGAGTTTGTTCGCTCTCTGTTGTTTTGAGCTGCTCCCAGCTCTGGGTATTCATGGCATGTGAGTTATGGCTCCATCCCTCCGGAGAAACGAGACAGATGTTTTTTTTTTATTTATGGAGCAGGTGGCCACTTTACCTGTGTCTCTGAACTCATTATGTCCCTCTACTATTAAGCAACTAGTATACTTATTTTATTCTGCAATATTCAAATCCACTAACTCCAATGATTTAAAATGTTGTCATTGTGATTTCATTATATATTTTTTGGTAACATTATACAGTAAGGTTTCATTTGTTAACATGAACTAACAACGAAAAATACGTCTAAAGCATTTATTAATCTTTGTTAATTTCAACATTTAAACATGCATTATTAAAATAAAAAGTTGTATCTACCTGAGCCATCATGAACTAATAATGGAGCAAAGTTAACAAAGATGAATGAATACTGTAACAAATGTATCGCTCATTGTTAGTTAATGTTAGTCAATGCATTAACTAATCTTACCTAATGAGACCTTACTGTAAAAGTTACAATTTTGTATGCATTAGATTGCATTTGCAATTCATTTTTTGTTGAGTGTTCCAGTGATTTAAACGTTTGATACTGCATTTCTTACACACTCACTTTAGTTACTCTTGATTTCACCAGGCCCAGGTTTATCGACATGGGGAAGGTGTACCGCCAGTCCAACCTGGAGAACCTGGAACAGGCTTTTTCAGTGGCAGAGCACGAACTTGGGGTCACACGACTGCTTGACCCAGAGGGTAATGTTAAAGCACTATAAGCTGATTTTGAAGAAAGTTATTAGATATTAACATCCAGTGTTGAAGCTAAATGTATTAGTTCAGTCCCACAACACCGTAGGTTGATCTTTCATTGAGTTTAGGATCCCATGACCTTTGACATTTGAAAAGCGTCAAAAGTATGTGCCTTTACATGAGCACTACAGTGTTTATTATAAATGATTTATTTGTGCACATCATTACTTGTAATCTTTAATTAAAAACATTAACTTTGATGATTTGTTCACCGGAGCAAGATCACAGAAATAAGCAAACGAAAAGAATCTAACTAAACCAATCAGTTCCTGATGGACGAAATATGTTGTTGTTGTTGTTGTTTTTTTTTTACATTTTACCCGTTCAAGATGCTATTTCACTTGGATATGCATCATAATGGAGAAGAAAAGATGATCACAGTTTCATGCCGACAAAAATCGAAATAGTTTGATTGAAATCTGCTTAAACAAATGACACACAAACAATCATATGTTTTCATTTAAACACAGTGAACAAAAAACGAATGCTTATTAAACTGCAATTCTTTCTGTTGCAGATGTGGATGTGCCTCACCCTGATGAGAAGTCCATCATCACCTATGTGTCCTCCCTTTACGACGCTATGCCACGTGTCCCAGACGTCCAGGACGGCGTCAAAGCCAATGTGAGCATTTCCTTCATCATTTCAATATGACGTAATTCCCACTTAACAACCCAGTTCCAGACTTAGGCAGTCAGCACATAGTCCAGTTAATATGCCGTCGAACCAAATCTAATAAAACTATATGAATGAGGTCTCTTAAGGTTTCCTGCCTGTGAAAATTCCCACACTACTGCTAAATAGCATCAGTGTCCAGTCTCTCTGACAATGACAAGATGATCGTCATTTACTCAGCAACTTGTTCCAGACCTCATGATTTTATTTCATTCGTGCAACACAAAAGGAGAAGTTTAGCAGAATGTTCGTGCAGCTCCTTTTTAGTACAATCACAGTGAATGGGGACTAAAGGTGCGGTTACATTTACTGCTGCTCAGAGAAATTTCACGGGCAAAATCCAGTCATTTTAATAGGAATCCACACAATCTGGAGTTCTGTGTGAAGACGAAAAGTTCCCCACACAGGTTTTGCTCACGTTCATGTTGGTTATGCAAATTCAATGCCTTCAGCAACAGAAAGATGCTTGGTTTGAAAGTGACTAATCTGCGTTCTGTGCTCTCTATTAACAGTAGACAATGGATTGTTTTTGCATGCAACATTTTGCTGACATGACCACACTTTAAGACTGTTGAGCTCCTAAAATTATCTATAACTATATTCCAAGATGTGTAAAACTATGCACTCTTTAAAAAAGGGGGGTTCCAAATAAGGGATTTTTGCAGTGATGAAGAACCATTTTTGGTTCCCTAAAGAATCTTTCAGTGAACAGTTCCTAAAAGAGCCATTTCTGTTCTTAGTGTGAAGAATATTTTAATAATCTGAAGAATCTTTTCCTGCTATAAAGATCCTTTTGTGCAATGAAAAGGTTGCATGCATTCAAATATGGTGAATCAAGACCCTTTTTGACCCTCATCGGGTTTACAAAATGACAGAAGGCTCCTCTTTCACCTCTTTCCTTGTTTACACCTTAAAGAAGGATAGAAGGTTAAGAATATAAACTTGAAGAGGTAATAGATGTTGTGTGATCTGGATCCCTGCCATCTGTTCTTATATAACACCATCCAGCTGCTGTCAGATGCAGTTTATTTCATTCCTCCTTCACACCGTCGGCATCTGTTATGAGAAGAGAATTAGATGATCTGTGTGAGTTGTGTCACAGACTATCAATAAGCCTGTATCAGCTATTTCTGTACTTTGATGCATCCCTCCCTTCATATGCTGTTATCAGACAAGGCTACGATTGTTGACATCTAATTGAGTGAATGTGGTAAGTAGTGACTTCGCACAGGGACAAAAGAGCTTCCCTGTTCCTCTCTGAATAGTTTTTGTGTGGTCTTGTTCCCGGCTGCAGGAGCTGGAGCTGCGCTGGCAGGAGTATTACGAGCTGGTCACCGTTCTTCTCCAGTGGATCAGACATCATGTACTCATCTTCGAGGAGAGGAAGTTTCCCAGCAGCTATGAGGAGGTCGAGGTGAGTCTGCTGTTGTGTGGTCTGGGTTGCTACTAGTTACTCTTTTTGTATTCAGTTACTGAATGAATTGCAGTCTTCATTATCTGTTGTGCTGTGCTGTCTGTGAGTTGCACATTGGTTTTGTGTTGAATTATCTGGGTCACTGTCCTTTAAAGGACCAGATAAGTTGGTCACCAGCATATGCTGCGATTTGGAGACTGCATAGAAACCAGCACCAAATGAACACTAGCTATTATAGCCAGCATATAAATTTGAAATGGTCTAAGCTGGAATTTATTTTATTTTATTTTATTTTATTTTATTTTATTTTATTTTATTTTATTTTTCCATTTTAATACATTTTTAATATATATTGGGGGGGGGGCACTTTACAATAACCTTCCTTAGTTAGCCTTAGTTAATGTATTGCACTAGCAACAAACAATACATTTGTTACAGTATTTATGAATCTTTGTTAATGTTAGTTATAAATAAAAATGTACATGTAATAAAAATACACGTGTTAATTGATGTTAATGTAATAAAAATACACATGTTCATTGTTAGTCCGGTTCATTAAATAATATTGGTCACACTTTAGTTTGGGGACCAGTTCTCACTATTAACTAACTATTAATAATGAATTTTGCCTCAGTGAATTTAACAGATTATAACAGATTATATAAAAGTGTTACAGTTATAGTACAGTTAATATATAAAGTGTTACAGTTCATTAAATGTCATAATAGTTTTTATTAAGTTTTAGTTTCAGTTATTTTAGTACTTCAGCTAAAATAAAATGTTATTATTTTACATTTTATTTCAGTTAAAGTCTATTTTATTTAAAGTAATGACGATGTGTTTTAAGGTTATAGTTTTAGTCTTAGTTAATCCCAAGTTATTGCACCGTGTCAGATTTCTGTGTTTATTTATTAAATTGCTTGTTTGTTTATATTGTAGCTTCTGTGGCGTCAGTTTCTGAAATTTAAAGAAACAGAGCTTCCCGCCAAAGAGTCAGACAAGAGCCGCTCCAAACACCTCTACCAGTCCTTTGAGGTTTGTACACAGGATCCGAATATGTTATGCTACAGTCATGGATATTTAAACATGTAGCATGAGACGTGAATTATTTTAGCTTACCTGTTGCTAAAGTGAAGGTGTTTTAAATCTGTCTAACGATCTGTTTCTTCTCTCTTAATGTGTTTTACCATCATTTGCCCACAGAGTGTGGTTCACGCTGGTCAGGTCAAGGTTCCTCCTGGTTATCATCCCATTGACGTTGAGAAGGAATGGGGGCATCTACATGTGGCCATTCTGGAGAGAGAGAGACTGCTCCGGATAGAGTTTGAGAGGTGAGGAGCAGTCTTAGTTTTGTCATGGCTTTTATTTTGTGGTCATTGAGAATATGTAATGTGTGTGTAATGAAACGACAGCCAGACTAGAATAGAACCGTCTGCCAGTCATCACATCAGCCATTATAACTCACAATGAAGACCATTCTAGACTAATGAGAGCTGCGTGAGAATGATACGATGCTACCTATCTGTACCAGATCTCAGTGTGGTCTACAGTACTTAAAATCTATGAATTTTATTGCATTCGATAGAAAATATCAAATATGAAAAAGTGGCATCCACAGACAGAGCTTTTCTTTTTACTCTTCTTCAGCTGGAGTTTTGGTGATTTTTAGTTCATCACATTAACTGTGAGCAAGTGATGGCACTTTATGTCTGTATTTGCATCACTAGATTTATTGTTTAAGCATGTAAAACTGTCTGTTAACTATGTTTACATATTAATACCTGTTCAGTATTCAGCAGTACTCTAATGAACGACAGTGTGAACTACAGTTTCACATGTGAAGCGTCTAGCCTATCATTTACATATAGAAGTAAAAAGGAGAACTAAATTACAGCCGTTTTGATAAAAGAAACCTTGATTTTTTGTGAAATACTTCAGTTTTGCAAGGAGAATGGAGAAAAATAGTTTGTGTTTCTGTTTTAGTTGTAAAACATTAAACAATTTTGGTTTGGCTTAGTGACATTATTACACCTTTAATGACAACTCCAAACTTTAAAAAACTCTTTAACCTTCCTAGTTATATAGAGACTGATGAATCTGTATTCATCATATAGTGACTTCCAAATAAATGTGTTTCCATTCAGTTTCTGTGAAGCAGTGTACTGTAGCAAGTTTACTGTCAATGAGACCGAAAGAGAATGTTGTGATTATATTCTGCACTAAATGAAATGAAATAGTTATCGATATCCATCATCTTGAAGGAGAGGGAGTTTCATCCAAAACAGGACACGTCCCCTGTCACAAGACAATGCTGCTTTTTGCTGGACGAGAGTAATATGCAGCACACAGTTTCTTTATGGACTGTGGAATGACTGACCAAGCGCCACAACAGCTTTATCCTGGCTGTGGTTTGGTCTGTCCGAGTCCCATGACAGGATTATAGCTAGAAAAACATGCTTTTTTATGCATTTTGGGGAGAGTCTTGCATGCTGTTGGACTGTAAAAATGGCCTTTTTGACAGACCCGTATCATTTAGAGTATTTGCTTCGTTGTGAAAAACAGTGAGTTTCTTGATACATGCTTTTTTGTGGCTTGTTTTGTCGATTACTTTTAACCAACTAATGTCCAGGTGATTTTAGGGTAACACTATATTTTAAGGTGTCCTTGTTACACATGTTACATGTACTTTCAATTATAATAACAATTATGCATAATTACATGCAAGTAACCCTAAGCCAAACCCGAATCCTAACCCTAACCATATAGTAAGTACATGTAGTTAATATTAATATTACTCAGTACTTAAATGTATAATTACACTGTAACAAGGACACCTTAAAATAAAGTGTAACTGATTTTAGTTATTTGAAGTAATTCCACATAGTTTTTAACATACGTGACCCTGGAGCACAAAAGCAGTCTTAAGTCGCTGGGGTATATTTGTAGCAATAGCCAAAAATACAGTGTACGGGTCAAAATTATTGATTTTTCTTTTATGCCAAAAATCATTAGGATATTAAGTAAAGATCATGTTCCATGGAGATATTTTGTAAATTTCCTACTTAATTTTTGATTAGTAATATGCATTGCTGAGAACTTAATTTAGACAACTTTAAAGATGATTTTCTCAGTATTTAGATTTTTTTGCACCCTCAGATTCCAGATTTTCAAATAGTTGTATCTCGGCCAAATTTTGTCCTATCCTAACAAACCATACATCAATAAGCTTATTTATTCAGCTTTCAGATGATGTACAAATCTCATTGACCCTTATGACTGGTTTTGTGGTCCAGGGTCACATATATATTAACATATACTAGCATATATGTTTGTTTTATTGTATTAAAAATCCTGTCCCTTAATTTTATTGAAAAATATTCCAGTTGTTTGTGCAATAGTCTCGCGTACATCAGACCTTTGATTAATCGGCACAATGTCTGGCCCTCATTGCAGCTCATTCTGACCACGAACTGCCAGTTTAGAAAAAATAGTAATTTAATTGTCTGCGAACTCTGATCATTTGCAGGTTAGAGCGTCTCCAGCAGATCGTCAGTAAAGTGCAGATGGAATCAGGCATGTGCGAGGAACAGCTCAACCAGACTGAGTCTCTGCTGCAGACGGTGAGATCATACTTACTTAAAACACACTACTAGTCGGTCAAACTGTGAAGCAAACTTTGCATTGTAGTGACTCTTGCTTTGGTTGCAGGACATTCGTCTCCTGAGTGCCGGGAAACCAGCGCAGCACACGGTTGAGGTGGAGAGGGATCTGGACAAAGCTGACGGCATGATCCGGCTCCTCTTCAATGACGTTCAGCTGCTCAAAGATGGGCGCCACCTGCAGGCAGAGCAGATGTATCGCAGGTGAGTCCATATAGTGGAAAACCTTCTTCCAGTAGCCTTCAGTATATTAAAAAGGGATATTTCTTTCCCCTTTGGACCTACAAGGAATTCTATTGGATGAAACAACTATGTCATTCTATAACAAATAATGTAAGCAACCCGAATGACAGCGGTTTTCTTTTCTCAGGGTCTACCGCTTACACGAGCGCTTGGTGAACTTGCGCAGCGACTACAATCTGAGGCTCAAGCCCAGCGTCAGCACGGCCTCTCACGCCATCACACGCGTTACCCAGAAGCCCATGCAGCGCCCGCGGCCCGAGCTCGATGAGGTCACGCTCCGTTACGCGCAGGACCTGTTATCTTGGGTGGAGGAGAACCAGCGGCGGATCGATACGGCCGAGTGGGGCATCGATCTTCCCTCTGTGGAGTCTCAGCTGGGCAGCCACAGAGGACTTCACCAAACCATCGAGGACTTCAGGGCGAAGATCGAGCGCGCACGAACAGATGAGGTACTTTTGTTTGTTTATTTAGTTAATTTTTTTTAATTGAAACTACTTTTACTAAAAGAGTGTTTACATATTAAACGTATGCCATTATCTCTGAAGCATATTTTGATGGACTGTGATGTCTTGAACTACACTAGGACTTTAATTTTCAGTTGACACTTATGGAAAGATTTTTTTTTTTTTAATTGAAACCAGATTTATATTTTTAATCAAAGATAAAAAAAAATTGGTAACACTTTACTTAAAGCCTTTATGTATAATGCATTATAAAAGTAGTTATAATACATTAATTATGCATTGTAATGCACCTTATAATGCATTGTACGATCTCATGAACAATTGTAACCTCAGTTAATAGATTATAACACTTGTCAATTCATTGTTACACTATGCCTTTTATTTTATTTTTTTTATTTATGCCTTTTTTAATTTGGTTATAATTATTAACAACAATGTATAATGTATTACAACGAACATTATGAATAATTATAATGCATTATAGCCTTTAATAACCCTTTATAATGCATTATACATAAAGGCTTTAAGTAAAGTGTTACAAAATTTGTATCTTTTATCATTGATTAACCCTTTTATTTATTTGCCTTTTTATTGTTGTTTTATAAAGTTAAAAGCTGTTTATTTTTTATTTTTTTACTTTTTTTTTTTCACTTGTTTCTCACCATGAATATGCGAAATAATCTTTAAATAAACAATTAATCATATGTGTTAAATTTGCCAGAATTTGACGCCTTTCTCTCAACCATATTTTTTATTTGCCCACTATAGCAAATTTGATTGTTTATATTGGCGTGAAATGCAAACTATATTGTCGGCCAGATTTAATCTGCCAAATGCAACTATATAGGCCCATTTACATTAAGAATGATAACTACATAGACAAATATAATAATTACTACATTGTGCCACTTTATATGCTTGAGCTCTTTAAAGCAGGATGGATTCTGGTTGGCTGTCAATGTTTTTATTGTTCATCAGCTGAAAAAACATTGTTCTGAAACTGATTTCAGTGTTATTGTTCTTCTGTGTCATTATCATTATAACTGTGGTGTGGACTTCCCCATTCTCATTGAATTAGAAAGATTATTAAAACTTTATAGGTATCGCTGTAGTTACTGTCTTTGGTGTGAACAGCCCTTAAGGCATGAAGATATTAAAATATTATAAACATTAGCATCATGATTTTCTATAAAGCTGCTTTAAAACAATGAACATACTGTGAAAAGCGCTATAAAAAACAATTTGACTTAACTAAATTAAGAAAATGGTTAATTTTACCTTCTAAGAAGGTCTCTTGTGACATCTCTACCTGTTTGTGTGTTTCAGAACCAGCTCTCGCCTGCTAGTAAAGGCACATACAGAGAATATCTGGGCAAACTGGATCTGCAGTACAACAAACTGCTGGTGAGTGTTTTAACCGGTAGCTATTAAAAATCACTAGGCCTTGCAGAGTGTCAGCATACGTCTCTCTTCTTCTCTAGAACTCCTCTAAATCCCGTCTGAGAAATCTTGACCAGCTGTATAACTTCGTCAGCGCCGCCACCAAGGACCTGATGTGGCTCAATGACAAAGAGGAAGAGGAGATCAACTACGACTGGAGTGAGCGCAACACCAACATGGCTGCAAAGAAAGAGAACTACTCAGTAAGTGCAGAGCGGTTTATAATCCTGATTCTCTGTTTAGGGTTAGGAGTTTGACTATAATTGGTTAATAAATAGGCTGCTGCAAGACTGGTTGCCTATTACAGTTGGACCAGGTGTAAATGGAGAATATTGTACAATTTGGATAGTTTAATGGTTTAATTAAATCCTCAGGGACTCATGCGAGAACTGGAACTTAGAGAGAAGAAAATCAATGACATCCAGGCCACTGGAGACAGACTCATCAAAGACGGACATCCAGGCAAGAAGACTGTTGAGGTACGGAGTCAACTATTAATGTTTTTAAAAGAAGCCGCTCACCAAGACTGCATTTATTTGATAAATAATGCAGGAAAAATATAAAATATATTTAGAATTTAAAATGACTGTTTTTTTATGTGAATATATGTTGCAATGTAATTAATAAGCAGAATTTTCAGCATCATTACTCCAGTCTTCAGTGTCACATGATCCTTCAGAAATCATTCTAATATGCTGATTTGCTGCATAAGACACATTTGTGACCCTTGACCACAAAACCAGTCATAAGGGTCAATTTTTTAAAATTGAGATGTATACATCATCTGAAAGTTGAACAAATACGTTTCCATTGATGTGTGGTTTGTTAGGATAGGACAATATTTGGTCGAGATACAACTATTTGAAAATCTAGAATCTGAGGGTGCAAAAAAATCAAAATATTGAGAAAATCATCTTTAAAGTTGTCCAAATGAAGTTCTTAGCAATGCATATTAAAAATCAAAAATTACGTTTTGATATATTTACAGTAGGAAATTTACAAAATATCTTCATGGAACATGATCTTTACTTAATATCCTAATGATTTTTGGCATAAAAGAAAAATCAATAATTTTGACCCAAACAATGTATTGTTGGCTACTGCTACAAATATACCCCAGCGACTTAAGACTGCTTTTGTGCTCCAGGGTCACATTTCTGATTATTATCAGTGTTGAAGACAGTTTTGAATGCTAGTGTATGTTGTAAGTGTTACGTGTGTGTTGTGTTGATCTTCAGGCCTTCACCGCAGCTCTGCAGACGCAGTGGAGCTGGATCCTCCAGGTGTGCTGTTGCATTGAAACTCATCTCAGAGAGAACACGGCGTACTTCCAGGTACAGCATCATCAGATGTGCACATCTTTGTTGGTCAGTCATGTTTAAGAAGTATTCACCTCCCTCACCTGCTTTACCCGTAGTTCTTTGCTGATGTGAGAGATGCTGAGGAGAGGATGAAGAAGATGCAGGAGACCATGAAGAAGAAGTACATGTGTGACCGCTCCACCACTGCCACTCGTCTGGAGGATCTACTGCAGGACGCTGTTGTGAGTTTGCTTTTTGTTGTCAGTGGATGGCTTATAAACACTAAACTGTAATGCTAGTGTTTGTTTTGCAAGTGTACAGTTATAGGTAGAGATTGCTTACTGCACACATTGATTGTATTGTATTACAGTATATTTTAGCGTGATTTTTGGAAATAGAATTGCGAATTTTCTGATAAAAATTGTGATTGTGATTTAAAATGCAATTTAAAAATAATAATAATAATAATCCAGGTTTGCTATGCTTGTTTGTAGGGCTGTACAGTGTGATCAAAATGTTGTGAATATATATCAGTATGGTTATAAATATTAATAATAGTAATAATATTTTACTAATAATTTACTAAATCTGAACAAAATAAGAAATATTACTGTTGTAATATTTCATTAAAATAAAAAACAAGTATTTAAGAAAAAACATAATAATAATAAAAAAAATAATAAAATAATTACTGAATCAAAATAAGAAGTATTACTATTGTAATATTTCACTAAAATAAAATAAAAATTGTATTTAAGAAAAAGTATTATTGTTGTTATTATTATTATTATATTACTAAATAAAAATCTTAAAATTGCTGACTCAAAACAAAATAAGAAATATTACTATTGTAATACCAAAATAAAAAATGAGTATTTAACAAAAATACATCATAATATTATTTATTTATTTGACATTACACCCGTAATATTATGTTGTCTTAATTTCTTTGTTTTCAAACGTTAAACCATCAAACTTTTATTTTGATGGAAAACCGCAGGAGCCCTTAAAGCTTGTCTTTTGTTGATAAACGTATTTAATAACTTAACAACAACTATGCAGGTTCGATCACTTCAATCTTAGAAGGATATTTCGACTTTGTTTCTTGAATGCAGTGCTGCATAAAACATTTTGGTAACACTTACAATAAGGATCATTAGTTAACTACTTTAGTTAACATGAACTAAGAATGAACAGTACTTCTACAGCATTTATTAACCTTAGCTAATGTTAATTTCAACATTTACTAATGCATTATTAAAATCAAAAGTTGTGCTTGTTAACATTAGCACTAACAATGACATTAGAACTAACAATGAATGAGTGTATTTTCATTAACTAACATTAACAAAGATTTAAAAATACTGTAATAAATGTATTGTTTGTTGATGTTAGTTAATACATTAGCTAACATTAACTAATGGAACCTTATTGTAAAGTGTTACTTATAACGCTATAAAAATAAAAAAGTAAAATGAATAAGTATCTTTAAGCTGACTAAGCGAGTTTGACCACAGGAGGAAAGAGAGCAGCTGAACGAGTTCAAGTCTGACATCGGCAGCCTGAACAATAGAGCCAAGTCCGTCGTCCAGCTGAAGCCGCGTGACCCCACCAGCGCCTTCAGAGGCAAGCTGCACATCCGGGCCGTGTGTGACTTCAAACAGATGGAGGTAGAGTCCGTCCCCGTCCCTGTCCGGTCGCTCTCACCTCTCACACACACCATCAGCCTGTGCTTGTGCTGCACGCTCAAACCCCTGTTTCTCCTGACAGATCACCGTGCACAAGGGCGACGAGTGCGCGCTCATCACGTGCCGTCCATCTGCTTCCTGCTGCCACCCGTCAACAAGGAGGCTGTGGAGAGTGTGTCCAGGTGCATTACACACACTACACTGTCACAGCAGTACTTCAAACAAACATTGGTGTTTACTGCCTACCACTGTTATTGATTTATTATTACAGGATTCGACAATGTTCTGAATTAGATTTTGATTTTATGTTTTCCAATTTTTAATAAAGTTTTAGGTAATCAAGTTTTAGTCATTTTCCTTTGTGTTTTTGTCATTTTTATTAGCGTTTTTCTTTATTATGCATATATAGTATTATTTAGTTTGACTTATTTTGTATTATCTGTCTGTCTGTCTGTCTGTCTGTCTGTCTGTCTATCATCTATCTATCTATCTATCTATCTATCTGTCTGTCTATCTGTCTGTCTGTCTGTCTATCATCTATCTATCTATCTATCTATCTATCTGTCTGTCTATCTGTCTGTCTGTCTGTCTATCATCTATCTATCTATCTATCTATCTATCTGTCTGTCTATCTGTCTGTCTGTCTGTCTATCATCTATCTATCTATCTATCTATCTATCTGTCTGTCTATCTGTCTGTCTGTCTGTCTATCATCTATCTATCTATCTATCTATCTATCTGTCTGTCTATCTGTCTGTCTGTCTGTCTATCATCTATCTATCTATCTATCTATCTATCTGTCTGTCTATCTGTCTGTCTGTCTGTCTATCATCTATCTATCTATCTATCTATCTATCTGTCTGTCTATCTGTCTGTCTGTCTGTCTATCATCTATCTATCTATCTATCTATCTATCTGTCTGTCTATCTGTCTGTCTGTCTGTCTATCATCTATCTATCTATCTATCTATCTATCTGTCTGTCTATCTGTCTGTCTGTCTGTCTATCATCTATCTATCTATCTATCTATCTATCTGTCTGTCTATCTGTCTGTCTGTCTGTCTATCATCTATCTATCTATCTATCTATCTATCTGTCTGTCTATCTGTCTGTCTGTCTGTCTATCATCTATCTATCTATCTATCTATCTATCTGTCTGTCTATCTGTCTGTCTGTCTGTCTATCATCTATCTATCTATCTATCTATCTATCTGTCTGTCTATCTGTCTGTCTGTCTGTCTATCATCTATCTATCTATCTATCTATCTATCTGTCTGTCTATCTGTCTGTCTGTCTGTCTATCATCTATCTATCTATCTATCTATCTATCTGTCTGTCTATCTGTCTGTCTGTCTGTCTATCATCTATCTATCTATCTATCTATCTATCTGTCTGTCTATCTGTCTGTCTGTCTGTCTATCATCTATCTATCTATCTATCTATCTATCTGTCTGTCTATCTGTCTGTCTGTCTGTCTATCATCTATCTATCTATCTATCTATCTATCTGTCTGTCTATCTGTCTGTCTGTCTGTCTATCATCTATCTATCTATCTATCTATCTATCTGTCTGTCTATCTGTCTGTCTGTCTGTCTATCATCTATCTATCTATCTATCTATCTATCTGTCTGTCTGTCTGTCTGTCTATCTATCTAGCTATCTATCTATTTTTTTTTATTAGTGTTTTTTAAGTGTGCATATATAGTATTTATTAATTTTTATTTATTAGTTTTAGTTCATTTAGTTTTGGTTATTTTATCATTTTAACTAAAAACCAATATGAGAAATGTTGCCTGAGAAATTAAAATAAAAATGAGAAATGTTGCCTTGGCAACTAGCTGAAATAAAATACTACTATAAGATACTATAACTTTTTAATTGTTTTTTTTTTTCTGTTTTCTGTTTTTATTTTAAATGTAGTTTTAGTAATTTTGTTGTGTTTTTGTCTTTTTTTTTTTTTTTTAATAATGTCTATATTTTTATTAAGTTGTAGTTATTTTGATAATACTATTTTGATTAAGATAAACTAAATAAAAAAGAAACACATTGTCTTGACAGCTAGCTGAAATAAAATACATTTTATCACAAGTTTTTTTTTAGTTAACGTTTATTTTATTTCAAGTAATGAAATTGTTTTCTTATGATTTTAGTTTTAGTTAACGGCTGCCTACATAGAAAGCATCTTTACTAAGATGGAACTGAATGGAAATGCTCTCCATTGGCAGTAGTTTCATTAATGACTCTAACTAACACGAACAACTGTTTTCAATATAGTTGAATGTTAACATTTTAATGAGTACAAATGCTGTCTAGGTTTGTGGCTCAGCTACTGTAGGTCTGTAAAGAATCACAGATTTCTGTGGTTGTGCTGAAACACATTGACTGCAAGGTGTTGAGCGTTGTGTTATGTTGATGTTTCTGTCAGTCTGGAGGCCGGTCACCAGCAGACTCTGGCTCTGTGGCAGAAGCTTCACTTTGACCTCAGGAGTCTGCTGTCCTGGCAATACCTGATGAAAGACATCCATCTCATCCGCTCCTGGAACATCACTATGGTCCGTTCTACACTTCATTCATGACATAAATAGATACCTCTGTGTTTTAGTCATTAATTGATGATTTAGCCAATAAGTTGACAAATAATGTATGATGATCAGTGGTTATAGGAGTAAATGTACTGACTGGTTATTTCACTCTCTCATATGTAAAAGGAAGGAAACATGTTCTACAGTAAACGCCACCCTGTAACTAATTCAGTAACTTGATTGTAATGTTGCAGACCGACCGAGTTGTATTTAGGAAACAGATGGTAAACAAGGAAAATTTGAAAACACAAAACCAGTCATAAGGGTAAATTTCTCGAAATTGAGATGTATACATCATCTGAAAGCTGAATAAATAAGCTTTCCATCGATGTGTGGTTTGTTAGGATAGGACAATATTTGGCTGAGATACAACTATTTGAAAATCTGGAATCTGAGGGTGCAAAAAAATCTAAATATTGAGAAAATCACCTTTAAAGTTGTCCAAATGAATTCCTTAGCAATGCATATTACTAATCAAAAATTAAATTTTGATATATTTACGGTAGGAAATTTACAAAATATCTTCATGGAACATGATCTTTACTTAATAATATCCTAATGATTTTTGGCATAAAAGAAAAATTGATAATTTAGACCCAAACAATGTATTTTTGGCTATTGCTACAAATATACCCCAGCGACTTAAGACTGCTTTTGTGCTCCAGGGTCACATATGTTTGTCCTCCTATGTTTTAGTTCAAGACGATGAAGACAGACGAGTACCAGCTGATGCTGAGGAACCTCCAGCTGCACTATCAGGACTTCCTCAAAGACAGCCAGGACTCCAATCTTTTAGATTCCAGTGACAACATGCAGATCGAGAGGGACTATAAGGAGACCGTACAGCATTACGACAGCCTGCTCCGCACCCTGGAGAAAGGTACAGACACGAACCCCTGACAGAGCCCACTGATGCCATGAAACGCTGAAACACGAGGGTTTTAGTTTACGTTGGGTAACTGTTGAATTCATGTTTCAGGAGCAGCTGTCAGAGCGCAGGGTGAGTCTTGTGCTCCTGCTGGCCTGATGAGCAGAATTTGGTTATCATGGACGAGCTGCTTTATAATGGAAAAACATGTTTTGTCAGCTTTTGTCGTCATTCGTGTCCTGTGCTTTAGCTAATGGCACATCTCTACAGAGTGTGCATGTACTGAAACGCTCAACGCAGCAGCGTAGTATAGAGGAAAAACACAGCCTGGTCAAACGATGCATTTCTGAATCTGTGTAGTTCATATATGGCTGTCATTTAGATGGCATCTGATTGGGTGAATCCAACGAAACATGTCAGGACCATGTCCAGCCAGGGTTATTATAGTTAACGAAACTTAAAGGGTTAGTTCATCCAAAAATGAAAATTAGGCTGCGTTTTACTCACCCCCGAGGCATCCTAGGTGTATATGCCTTTCTTCTTTCAGACGAATCCAGTCGGAGTTATATTAAAAATTGTCTTTGATCTTTCAAGCTGTTTAATGCCACTCAGCGGGTGTTGCATTGCTTCAGTCCAAAAGAACTTAAATAAAAATCGCCCATCCATAAAAAAAAGTGTCTCACACGGCATCCGGGGGTGAACAAAGGCCTTCTGTAGCGAATCGATGCATTTTTGTAAGAAAAATATCCATATTCAAAGACAATTTTTAATATAACTCCGACTGGATTTGTCTGAAAGAATGTTATTGTCATTATTTAAAAAAATGTCTATATAGTTTTTAGTTATTTTATTAAAGTTGTAGTCTTAGTTATTTTAGTACATATCTATCTATCTATCTATCTATCTATCTATCTATCTATTTTGCATCATGGTAGTGCTTGTTGTTCTTTCTTTTATTTAAATACAAAAAAAATAATACAATTGTTACGGGGCTGACAAGACGTGAGACGTGCGGATCCATATGCAAGCTTTATTAACATCAGAGGAGGCCAGAAACACAGGCAGGGTCGAACGGTGGCAAACAGGTATATGGCGGGCAAGACACAAGAATAGTCCTAGGGCTAGGTTCATGGACCAGATACGTAACAGAGCTCCCCCCCCAAGGAGCGGCTTCCAGACGCTCCAAAACAGTTTACGATTCCGGAGGGCGGTGGAGTGGAGGCGGAACAGGGGGAGGGATGGAGGGCCAGGTCCACATGGAAGTGGAGAGACCGGGAACTGAGGTAGAACCAGCGGAGCAGAGAGCCAGGGTGGTGCCGGCAGTACAGGTGGAGCAGGGAACCACCAGATCCAGACAGCAGACCACCACGGCGGGGCAGAAGACCACCACGGCAGAGCAGAAGACCACCACGGCGGAGCAGGGCTGTGTGCAATCAGTGCAATGAATGATGGGATATGTAGTCCGGGGTGATGTGCAACAGTGTGTAGTGCGAGAGTCAATGAAAATGGAAAGGGTGACCTCTGATGGCTAGCAGACAGAAGTTCATGGACCGGATACGTAACAGCAATGAAACATATTTTACTGTTATATTTTACAGTCCTCAAAAAATAGGCCTCATTTTCTTCATGCACAGCATTTTTTTGTCTTTTGATTTTGGGATGAAATGTGAGCCACTAACACAAATGGAATGTGTGTGATGTGACTAAGTGTCATGAATGTTGGCTGCAGTGCACCGATAAAGGGAGAGATAAACTGTTGTCTGCCTTTAGTGTTGTTTGAAAGCCATAATGAGAAATCTTTTCTCTTCACAGGCGAGCAGGATGAATCCATATGCAAGTCATACATCACCCAAGTCAAAAACCTGCGCGTGCAGATCGAAGACTGTGAGTCTCGTACGGTGGCCCGCATCCGGCAACCAGTGGATAAAGATCCGCTCAGAGACTGCATTCAGAAAACTGGAGATCAGAAAGTACGACACAAAACTCTTTCTTTTTTATTTTATCCAGTTAAAACTCTTTTTCAACTGTAGTATGTGTATACATATTTAAATCACATTTTTGAAATGGGTGAATTTTAAGAACACATCCCCAAAATCATAAAAATATTTTTTGCTTTCTGACATTATTTTTTAAGCATGTTTTACAAAATGTTCTTATTATTGTAATGGATCCAAAAGACAATTGTTAGCTTATTTTGTGTTTCTCTTTGTGATTCTCATTAAATGCTTATTACTGTAATACAAAATAAATTAAAGACAGAACAGCAAATACTAAAACAATATGAGATATAAATGAATCAGAGTAATGAGATTTTAACCCATTATGGTATTAAAATTTGTGCTTAATTGTCCTGAAAATAATGTCACAATGTAAAAAAAATCTCCAATATATAATCAGTGTTATTTTAGCATATTTGAGATACAATTATAGTTGTTATTAATATTTTGAATCAGTTATTTTTCAATTTTCCATATATATTATATATATATAATGTGTGTGTGTGTGTGTGTGTGTGTGTGTGTGTGTGTGTGTGTATAGATATTAGACAATTTTATTTCAGTTTTAGTTATTTTAGTACATATTTAAACAAAAAAATGAAAGATGTCTGAAAATAAGTGAAATAATTTTGTTATATTTCATTTTATTTCAGGTAACATTTATTTTATTTCAAGCAACAAACATGTTTTTTAATGGTTTTGAGTTTCAGTTTTTTAATTAACTGTACCCTGAATATAATTTCTTATTTTTTCTTTTGATTATGATGTGAACTATGACTTGGACCATGGTCTTTGTCATATTTAACCAAATTAATCATTGTGTTTTTGTTTCTGGCTCAAACAGAAAGTGCAAATAGAGCTGGAAGGAATTAAGAAGAACCTGGACCGAGTGTCTCAGAAAGCTGAGGAGGTGCTGTCCTCGCCGGAGCAGTCCAGCACTCCAGTCCTGCGCTCAGAACTGGACATCACCCTGCAGAAGATGGACCAAACCTACAACCTGTCCTCAGTCTACCTGGAGAAGTAAGCAGCAGTATTTGTCTTTGCATGGCACATCCACTGCTGCTCGTCATTCATGCTTTGACTCTGTATTATTATGTACTAATAATCTTCAATTAAGCATGAGATCAGATCGAGGCAATTATTTTCTCTGTAGACTTAAGACAATAGATATCGTGATCCGGAATACACAAGGAGCAGAAGATGTGGTGAAGAAATATGAGAATCGTCTGCGTGAGGTTCACACGGTTCCTTCAAACGTCCAGGAGGTGGAGAACTACTGCTCTGAACTCAAGGTAATATTTAATGTTCACTTACTGGTATCTGTACCATTTATTTAATATGTACAACAATATAGGTCAGTGCTTCTCAACCACAACAATATTCAAAGGACCGACATTCCTAGGTTCTGTAAATTCTGTTGTAGGATTCCTGAAGTTTTATGAGCTGGATCCTGATCTTTTTAACCAATTAACAATGTTTCCAGTTGTTTGTGGTTTACTGGATAAGGAATAATGATAGTTTTTTTTTTTTATGTTTGTGCTCGCAATTTATGCACAATAAAATATTTTAGAGCTAGGTATAACTACAAAAATGTCTATTCTTTATAAAAACGTCCATGGAGTTTTAGGATTTTATTAATTTACATGACTTTTCCAGCTTTAGAAATCATACTTTTAAAATAAGGCTTCCTTGTATATCCCAGTTTTACAGTTGTTGAACGGGTGAACTGAAAAAAAAAATCGTAATTTAGTTTTAGCAGATTTTTATGCTTGTTTTGTCTTATTTTAATTCAAGAAAGTCGTTATATTGGAAGATGGCTGTGGCCCTCTGGTTGAGAACCATAAATTACTGTAAAAAAGCATTTTAAGCCTGTTCAAACCAAGCAATAGATGGTAGAAATGATGTTTAGTCAAAGTGTTCAAACAGGTTTCCCAGTCTGCCATTGGCCGGGTAAACCGACTGTCCTGCCCCTTTATTCGTAACTTACTGATGTCATTGGTTGTGTCAGTTTGGCTGTGTCGACTGATTCTCAAACAAACAGACTATGTTTTGAAAGCCACAGTGTTGTGGAAATCAACTTACAAATTATTATTTACACTTGCATTCGCATATTAATTAACAAGAAGGGGAAAAATCACACTACATCTTTAAGTCTTTTTACAGTCCCACTTTATATTAAGTGGCCCTAATACCTGTGTACTTACATAGTAACTAGATGTGTACTTAGTATGTAACCACAGTGTAAGTACACATTGGTACATAGTATCTACAGCTGTAATATTTCTGTAACTACACATGTAACAACCCTCAGGATGGTTTGTGTAAGTACAAATGCGTAACAGGACATTGGTAACAGCACTTTTTTTCACTTCACTAAGTACTCGTGTAACAGGAATTATATAACTACATTTTGTAACAACAATATGTATAAGAGTAATTGGAACTATTTGATCCAGGGGGTGGAGATGGGTAGGTTTAAGGATATGTAAAGTGGGAGGAGTTGGATCTCAAGTTGGTGGAGTTGGTGCACCACTGTAATACCAGTGTACTTGCATGGTAACTCCTCAGGAACTGTCCACTTAATATAAAGTGTAACATTCTGGACACCAACCACAATTTATATGTAAAGCCTAACTTACTAGCCGCTGCTGTGTAACATCAGAGTAATTACATGGTAAATCTAATATAAAGTGTAACACTTTCTTTACCGAAAAGTGCTGTTAGTCCTGTTACACATTTGTACTTTCATTACCAAAAAGTGTTGTTACAAATGTCCTGTTACACATTTGTATTTACACATACCATTCAGTGGGTTGTTACATATGTGTAGTTACACAAACATTACAGCTGTAGATACTATGTACCAATGTGTACTTACACTGTGGTTACATACTACGTACACATCTAGTTACTATGTAAGTACACAGGTATTAGGGCCACTTAATATAAAGTGGGACATTTGATCACAGTTATTTTAATGAAAAACATATATACCTGCAAGTGTACAGTATGTCTAATGTAGTTACATCAAATTTACCCTGGGATTAAGTCAGCTTGTTCCTTTATGTCCAGCGAATGCGTTCGGAGGCAGAAACCCAGCGGCCCGTGTTTGATGCCATGGATAGCAAGCTGGCCAAGGCCACGGTGGTCAGCCAGCGTATGCTTCAGGTTCACAGCGAGCGGGACGCCGAGCTGGATCACTACCGGCAGCTCCTGGGCAGCCTACAGGATCGCTGGCGCACCGTCTTCGCTCAGATCGACCTGCGGCAGCGCGAGCTCGAGCAGCTGGGCCGGCAGCTGGGCTACTACAGGGAGAGCTACGACTGGCTCATCCGCTGGATCGCAGACGCCAAACAGCGGCAGGAGAAGATCCAGGCCGTGCCTATAATCGACAGCAAGATGCTCAAAGAACAACTGGCACAGGAGAAGGTACTGAATAACACAAGCTTTCGGCGCTTAACCTGGGTTAAACCTTTGGTAACGGGTTGAGCAATACCTCATGCTTGTTTGAAGTTTGAAAGTAGGTTATCATTAAAAAGTCTTTGTGGAGCCTTTTTGATTGGTAACAACCAAAACCCACTCATGAACTGCCTCACTTTACCACCATTTCTCATTTAGCTCACTTACACTCTAAAAAATGCTGGGTTAAATATAACCCAGCGCTGGGTTATATTTAACCCAGCATTTTTTAGAGTGTAGGTTCCAATATCTTAGTAAAAATATAAATAACAATGACCGGTGACATTGAGTTATTCATTGCAGTGATGAACAGTGTTATTGTACAGTAGTAAGTGTCAGAGACTTTACATCTTGACATTTTTACAGATAGACAACCAGTTATTGAAAAAAAAAGTTTGAGCAGTGTGTAATGTGGAACAAGCTCAATAAAGATCTTGTGAGAAATATTCCAGAAGCTTTTTTTTCGCTTCTGGAATATTAATTTATGTGCATTAGTTCTCTGACATACATTGCAATGAGAATAATTTTGTTAACCCATTGCAAAGGTATAAGTATAATATGCTGACTTTTACCTTCACAGAAACTGCTTGAAGAGATTGAGAAAAACAAAGAGAAAGTTGATGAATGCCAGAAATATGCCAAAGCTTACATTGATACAATTAAGGTAAGAGAGAGAGTTCTATAAGAGAGAGTATATACATTTATTTATTTACTGTATGTACCTACAATTTGTGGTTGGAGTGCTACAATCTTTATTTTTTCCAGGACTATGAACTTCAGTTGGTTGCCTACAAAGCTCAGGTAGAACCTCTGACTTCTCCTTTGAAGAAAACCAAGATGGAGTCTGCCTCTGATAACGTCATTCAAGAGGTTAGAAAACGCTCACAGATCATTCACATTTATACATGTGCATTATTTGATTACTCATGTTTGCGTAGGTTACAATGGGGTTTATCATTTTAAATGTACACTTATGTTATCTTTTAAACTAATACATCCTACTAACTGATAGGATTTGAATGATAATTTTTCAAAATGCTTTGTCTTTTTCATCATAGTATGTCACTCTGAGAACTCGCTATAGTGAGCTGATGACGCTGACCAGTCAGTACATCAAGTTCATCACAGACACGCAGCGGCGCATCGAGGGCGAGGAGGTGCGTGACATCAGGGGACCCTATTCATACCAGACTAACCCAACACCTAACATTAACCAACCAACCCAACCAACCACTCATCAGAAAAAGAAAAAACATCCAGATATGCTTAATGTATGGGTGACTCGACATTTATTCTGTGTCACTTTGGACACAAATATAGTTATTTTCAGTAGTATGTTACTGCAAGTATTTCAGAAATGCGTGACAGGTAGAATAAATTTGCCCTGTCTTGCTTAAAATATTAAGCATTAATAATTAAATTGTCTTTTAAGGGCAATTTCATTTGTTTTTTTCATTTTTTTCATTTTTACACATTTATTGTTGTAAATAAATAAATACGATAAAATAAAAATAGAATAGCTTATAATGATTAATTTTTAGATACATTTTATTTGATTTCATTAATTTGAAAACATACAAGCAGCTGATGAAGTATTTTGACATTTTAACAGAACAGTAAATGTTATATTTGTCAGTGCTGGATAAAGTACTTGAAAGCGACACTTAAAACTTGCAAATGCCAGACCACTGATTCGTCAAACCTGCTTTCTTTCAGTCTGTGTTCTTCCGACTTTATTTTGTAGTAAGTAACGAATATGCCTCGGGGAAATGTATTGGAGTAAAAGTATAGATTTTTAATTCGGAAATATAGTGGAGTAAAGGTGAAAGTTGACAGAAATATTAAAACTCAAGTAAAGTACATATGTGACCCTGGACCATTATAAGCTGAATAAATAAGCTTTCCATTGATGTATGGTTTGTTAGGATAGGACAGGGGTAGGCAAGTTCGGTCCTAGAGAGCCGCTAGGTTTGAATATATTTACGGTAGAAAATTTACAAAATATCTTCATGGAACATGATCTTTACTTTACTTAATATCCTAATGAATTTTGGCATAACAGAAAAATCAATAATTTTGACCCATACAATGTATTTTTGGCTATTGCTACAAATATACCCCAGCGACTTAAGACTGGTTTTGTGCTCCAGGGTCACACTTTCTCCTAAAAATATTTTTAAAAGTATTATTACTTCGTTAGATTACACCACTGATATCAGATGGTGTCTGATGCACACTAGGGAAAGTAAGTCATATGAGGCCCACTTTTCCTATATACTTTTCTCTTTTCTCACTACTGTATGTCTTTCAAACCCTAACCTTTGATTTCTTTGCTTCTCTTAACTGCTTGCCAGTGCTTTGTCTTGATGATTGCTTGATCTTTTTTGGGCTCTAAAGAGGTAAAACTTTTCATTACGCTCTAGTTATTCTATATCCATATTCCAGTATCCGTCTTCATTAATATTCTGCATTTCCTCCTATCCAGCTTATATGAGTTACCCTTTCTAGTTAAATGTTATTGTACTTTTGTTCATTGTAGTTTTCTGATTCTCTTAGCTCATGATGGTAGATTGTGTAATTCATTTACTTTAATTGACTTAATTGGTCTCCACACTGCATAACTAAAAATACATAACTGAAATATAATGAGGTAGTAGTAGTTTTAATGCATTTATGTTGTTAAGATTCATGACTGAAAACTTTATAGTATCATCTAAATTTCCAATATAATAATATATTGTATAGGTGTAAATAATCATATTTGAGAATCAGATTCCTACTGCCCTTATTTTTTATACTTCAAGGTCATTTAAAATGTTCTTTTCATACTAACGTTTCCTCTTTTTCTGTGGATCTGGACCTGCTTGTCTGTCTGAATCATTGCTTTTAACACTTATAGCTTACTTTCAATTGCTAACTGGAGTTCTTGCTTGCACTATTGGTTTTTAGTTGTTCTGTTCTTCTCACCCTTTTTTCAGTCCACCAAATCAAGTTCTCATTCTTAACAATGATAAATCTTTAGAAAGGCAGGATTTTTTTTAAACACACTTAAAGTTTGTATTAACTTTATGCTCAGTTTTCATCCAGTCATCTAGTTTATAGCAAAATCATATTGATTACATTATATTCTATTCTGTAGACTTTTTTAATCACTTTGTTTAACTGGAATGCAGTAAATGGTTTTCATAGTGCCACCATATGGGAGCTTCTCCCTCGCATGTTGTGAGAATGTAGTGTTTTAAAGCAGTGTCTTGTGTCTCCATACATTAATCATATCATCTTACCATAATCCAAATGATTGCATATGATATTTGACTATTAATTTACCTTAACCTTGTTTGTCATGATTGCATCTAAACCTGTCTTTCTTTGAGCTAAATAATAACCTTAACACTTAAAGAATTAGTTCACTTAAAAATTTAAACTTCTGTCATCATTTGCTCATCCTCATATTATTCCAAACCCCAAATGTCTTTCTTGCTTCCATGGAACACAAAAGAGAAACATTTAATAATAAATGGGATCTGAAGCTTACAAGCTTCAAAAGTGACGAAACACGATAACAGTCGTCCAACTTGTGCTGTCTTCCTAGATTTCTGAATATATACAATAGCGTAAACATTTTTGTCACTATTCACTGAAAAAAATACAATAGTGAACATATTTTCAGTGAATAGAAACTTGTTGATTTCCCTCTGTTCCTTCTGGCTTCAGAAGTCTTGGAATATAATGCACAAGTTATATGGACTGTCCCATCTCAGAGGGACATCAAGAGTTTGATATCTCTTGTTATCATTTGCTTTTATTATGTTGAAAGAGTGGCCGATATATATCACCTTTTGTGTTCTACGGAAAAAAGTACAAATATAATATTGTAGACAGTCAATACAGGTTTGGAATGACAGAGTAAATAATGACAGACTTTTCATTTTTGGGTAAACTACTCCTTTAACACCCCGTCATGCTTGATCTTAATCATAATTTTCTTTACCATTTACCTCCACTAATACAGAAAGCTGCTGAGAAACTAAAAGCAGAAGAGAGGAAAAAAATGGCTGAGATGCAGGCAGAGTTAGAGAAACAGAAGCAGCTAGCTGAAGCTCATGCCAAGGCCATTGCCAAAGCGGAGAAAGAGGCACAGGAGCTCAAGCTCATGATGCAAGAGGAGGTTAGCAAACGAGAGATTGTTGCTGTGGATGCTGAAAGGCAAAAACAGAACATCCAGCTGGAGCTGCACGAGCTCAAAAACCTCTCCGAACAACAGATGAAATCAAAGAGCCAACAAGTGGAGGAGGCTTTACAAAGCCGGGTCAAGATAGAGGGAGAGATCCGCATCATAAGACTTCAACTAGAAACTACACTGAAGCAAAAGTCCACTGCCGAGGACGAGCTGAGACAGCTTAGAGACAAGGCTGCAGAGGCAGAGAGACTTTGCAAAGCTGCTCATGAAGAGGCTGAGAAACTTCGCAAGCAGGTTAACGAGGAGACCCAGAAGAAGCGGATGGCGGAGGAAGAGTTAAAGCTGAAGTCTGAAGCAGAGAAAGAGGCTGCCAGGCAGAAGCAGAAAGCCCTGGATGACCTTGCGAAGCACAAGATGCAGGCAGAGGAGGCAGAAAGACACATGAAGCAGGCTGAGACTGAGAAAGCCAGACAAATCAAGCTCGCTCAAGATGCAGCTCAGAAAAGTGCCGCTGCTGAGTTGCAGAGCAAGCGCATGTCCTACGTCGAAAAGACATCCAAACTTGAGGAGTCACTCCGAGAGAAGCATGGGACTGTCGTTCAATTGCAAGAGGAGGCAGAACGCCTCAAGAAGCAACAGGAAGAGGCAGACAAAGCAAGGGAGGAGGCTGAGAAAGAGCTTGAAAAGTGGAGGCAAAAAGCCAATGAAGCCCTTCGTCTAAGGCTCCAGGCAGAGGAAGAAGCCCACAAAAAGACTCTTGCACAGGAAGAGGCTGAAAAACAGAAAGACGAGGCTGAGCGTGAGGCCAAAAAACGGGCCAAAGCTGAAGACTCTGCCCTGAAACAGAAAGACATGGCCGAGCAAGAGCTGGAGCGGCAGAGGAAGCTGGCAGAGAGCACAGCACAACAGAAACTTTCCGCAGAGCAGGAGCTGATCCGCTTGAGGGCTGATTTTGATCATGCCGAGCAACAGAGATCACTGCTCGACGATGAACTGTACCGTCTTAAGAATGAGATTAGTGCTGCAGAGCAGCAGCGGAAGCAGCTTGAAGATGAGCTTTCCAAAGTTAGAAGTGAAATGGACATACTTTTGCTGCTGAAGTCTAAAGCTGAAAAGGACAGCATGTCCACCACCGAAAAGAGTAAACAACTCTTGGAAGCTGAAGCTGCGAAACTGAGGGATCTTGCAGATGAAGCAGCCAAGCTTCGTGCCATTGCTGAAGAGGCAAAGAGACAGAGACAGGTGGCTGAGGAAGAAGCTGCGAGACAGAGAGCAGAAGCTGAGAGAATTCTCAAAGAGAAACTTGCTGCCATTAATGAGGCCACTCGCTTGAAAACTGAAGCAGAGATAGCTCTAAAAGAAAAAGAGGCTGAAAATGAACGCCTGAGAAGGCAAGCTGAGGATGAGGTTTACCAGAGAAAGGCTCTTGAAGATCAGGCAAGCCAGCACAAGCAAGACATTGATCAGAAGATCAAACAGCTCAAGAAGTCCTCTGAAGTGGAATTAGATAGACAGAAATCAATTGTGGATGACACTCTTAAACAGAAAAGAATAGTTGAAGAGGAGATTCGTATCTTGAAAGTTAACTTTGAGAAGGCTTCATCTGGCAAGCTTGATTTGGAGCTTGAACTGAATAAGCTGAAGAATATTGCAGAGGAAACACAACAAAGCAAACTGCGAGCTGAGGAGGAAGCCGAGAAGCTACGCAAGCTTGCCCTACACGAAGAAAACAGAAGAAGGGAGGCTGAAGAAAAACTGAAAAAGATTACTGCTGCAGAGCAGGAAGCAGCTCGACAGCGCCAGGTTGCCCAAGAAGAAGTAGAGCGTCTCAAAAAGAAAGCTGATGAGGCCAGAAAGCAAAAAGAAGATGCTGATAAAGAAGCTGAGAGGCAAATACTTGCTGCCAGTGAAGCTGCTGAGAAAGCAATTACAGCTGAACATCAAGTCCAAAGTGTTCTTGTTCAGCAGAAAGAGGACAGCCTGGTACAGAAAAGGCTCAAGGAGGAGTTTGAGAAAGCCAAAAAGCTTGCCCAAGAAGCAGAAAAGGCCAAAGAAAAGGCTGAGAAAGAGGCTGCCCTCCTCCGCCAACAAGCAGAAGATGCAGAGCGTCAGCGGCAGGCTGCTGAGGTTGAGGCAGCCAATCAGGCCAAAGCCCAAGAAGCTGCTGAGAGGCTCAGAAAAGAGGCAGAGCTAGAAGCAGAAAAGCGAGCCCAGGCAGAAGCAGCAGCGCTGAAACAAAAACAGCTAGCTGATGAAGAGATGGCTAGGCACAAGGCACTTGCAGAGCAGACACTTAAGCAGAAATCTCAGGTTGAGCAAGAGCTTGCTAAAGTGAAACTGCGGCTGGATGAGACAGACAAACAGAAGACTCTCCTGGATGATGAGCTTCATCGCCTAAAGGACGAGGTCAGTGATGCTGTTAAACAGAAAGCCCAGGTAGAGGAGGAACTGTTCAAAGTCAAGATTCAAATGGAGGAACTCATCAAACTCAAGCTCAGAATTGAAGAGGAGAACCAACGTCTCATCCAGAGGGACAAAGATAATACTCAAAAATTCTTGGCTGAGGAGGCTGAGAACATGAAAAAACTTGCAGAGGATGCTGCCAGGCTCAGCATTGAGACCCAAGAGGCTGCTCGCATGAGACATATTGCAGAGACTGACCTTGCCGAGCAAAGAGCTCTTGCTGAAAAGATGCTTAAAGAAAAGATGCAAGCCATTCAGGAGGCCTCTAAACTTAGAGCAGAGGCAGAAATGCTACAGAGACAGAAAGACCTTGCTCAAGAGCAAGCTCAAAAGCTGCTTGAAGACAAACAACTGATGCAGCAACGGCTTGAGGAGGAAACTGAGGGCTTCCAGAAATCGTTGGAGGCTGAGCGCAGAAGACAGTTGGAGATAACAGCTGAGGCAGAGAAACTTAGACTTCAGGTGTCCCAGCTCAGTGATGCCCAGTCTAGAGCTGAGGAGGAAGCCAAGAAATTCAAGAAGCAGGCAGATGTGATTAGTGCCCGACTTCATGAGACCGAGCTTGCCACCAAAGAGAAAATGACAGTTGTTGAAAAATTGGAAATACAGAGATTGAGCAGTAACAAAGAAGCAGATGACTTGCGCGAAGCCATTGCTGATCTTGAGAAAGAGAAGGCAAAATTGAAAAAAGAAGCTGAAGAGTTACAGAAAAAGTCCAAACAGGTATTGTGTAAAAGATGGCATAGATTGCTGCGTTGATAGATTGATATGTCATTGTTAACCCTCTCTCCGAAAACTAACATTGCTTTAATTCAGTTCTTTTTTTTCTATTACAAATGTTCCAATCTTTAATTATATTCTCTAATGATTTCTCATTAATCTTAAAATGGATATTTACATCATTGAAAATTATTTGTTTGAATGTTTTTAGCATTGTTTTAACTTTGTTCATTGTTTCTTATTTTATAGATGGTGAATGCTCAGCAAGAACAAATTAAACAGGAGAAAACAATTCTCCAGCAGACATTTATGTCAGAAAAGGAGATGCTGTTGAAGAAGGAAAAACAAATTGAGGATGAAAAGAAGAGGTTGGAGAACCAATTTGAAGAAGAGGTCAAAAAGTCAAAAGCCCTTAAAGATGAGCAGGAACGTCAAAGAAAACAAATGGAGGATGAAAAGATTAAACTGAAGGCCACTATGGATGCTGCTCTGATAAAACAGAAAGAGGCTGAACAAGAGATGTTTAACAAGCAGAAAGAAATACACGAACTTGAGAGGAAGAGGCTTGAACAAGAAAGAATTCTTGCTGAGGAAAACCAGAAACTGCGTGAGAAACTTCAACAGCTTGAAGTTGCTCAAAAAATCACCCAGGAGATTCACATCCAGACAGAATACAAAAAAGTCCTGAATGGTCAAAGTATTTCTGATGAAGTTGACAGCACACATGGTTTCTCTCCATTATCCTTCGATGGCATTCGTGAGAAGGTGCCTGCAAGTAGACTTTTTGAAATAGGACTTTTAAGCAAAATGGATTATGATAAGCTCCAGAGTGGTGACACCACAATCGAAGAACTCAGCCAGACAGACAAACTTAAAACAGTTCTTGAGGGCAAGAATTGCATTGGTGGCCTGCTTATTCATCCAAATCAAAAAATGCCCATCTATCAAGCCGTCAAGGAGAAGAAGATTGCTCCTGGGACAGGGCTAGTGCTGCTGGAGGCACAGGCTGCTTCTGGATACATAATAGACCCAGTTAAAAACAAGAAACTCTCTGTCAATGAGGCGGTTAAAGAGGGTCTAATTGGACCTGAACTTCACAACAAGATGCTGTCTGCAGAGAGAGCTGTCACTGGCTACAAGGATCCATACACAGAGGCAAAGATCTCCCTCTTTGAAGCTATGAAGAAGGGTCTCATTGGGGAGGATCATGCCATCAGGTTGCTTGAGGCTCAGATAGCAACAGGTGGCATTATTGATCCAGTCAATAGTCATCGTGTGCCCAATGAAATAGCCTATAAGCAGGGTCAGTTTGATGTGGCCACCAGTAAAATCCTACAAAATCCAACAGATGATGTCAAGGGATTCTATGACCCAAACACCCAAGAAAATATGATGTACCAACAACTAATAGAAAGGTGTGTCACTGATTCAGAAACAGGACTCTTTCTTTTGCCCATTTCTGAGGAGGCTGCTCTAAATGCCAGGATATTCACAGATGAGGAAACAAGAGATGTGTTTGACAAGACAACGGTATCGGTGCCATTTGGCCGTTTTAAAGGAAAGACTGTGACCATCTGGGAGATTATAAACTCTGAGTACTTCACTGAAGACCAGAAAAAAGATCTTATCCGCCAGTACAAAACAGGAAAAATTACAGTTGAAAAGATCATCAAAATTGTTCTAACTGTTGCAGAGGAAAAAGAGAAAAAGTATGAGCTTGCCTTTGATGGCCTGAGAGCACCTGTACCTGCTACAAAACTTCTTGAATCAAAAATTATTGACAAAGACCTCTATAACAAGTTGCAGAAAGGACAACTGCTTGTAAAAGACGTGTCTGAGATGGAGCATGTGCGCAATGCCTTGAAAGGCACTAAATGCATTGCAGGAGTAATTATTAACTCAACCAAACAAACAATGTCCTTTTATGATGCCATGAAAAGAGACATGATGAGACCTGGGCCTGCTCTTAATCTCTTGGAAGCACAAGCTGCCACAGGATATGTCATAGATCCTGTTAAAAACCAACAACTCACAGTAGATGAGGCTGTCAAAGCAGGTGTTGTCGGTCCAGAACTTCATGAAAAACTACTCTCTGCAGAGAGAGCTGTCACAGGCTATAAAGATCCTTACACTGGAAAAACAATTTCTCTGTTCGAGGCTATGAAGAAAGACCTGATCATGAAGGAACAAGGAATTCGACTGCTTGATGCACAACTAGCAACCGGAGGCATCATTGATCCTGTTCAAAGTCACCGCATTCCACATGACATTGCCTGCATGAAGGGCTGTTTTGACGATGCAAACCACAATTTTTTGACCAGCCCAAGTGATGAAGTTAAGGGATACTTTGACCCAAACACTCAGGAATATCTCACTTATCCACAGCTTTATAAAAGATGTGTCACTGACAAAAAGACTGGCCTTCAGCTTCTGCCTTTGTCTGAACAAGCCATCAATGCCAAAGAGGAGATGAAGTACACTGATGCCCAGACCAAAGACGTAATGACTCAGGCAACTCTTGAAGTTCAGAGTGGACCTTTCAAAGGGAGAAAAGTTACCTTATGGGAGCTCATTAACTCTGACTATATCACTGAAGAGCAAAGGCTTGACCTAATAAGGCAATATAGATCTGGGAAAATGACAATTGAGAAGATTATAAAGATTTTAATTGAAATTGTTACTAAGAAAGATGCCAAGAAACAAGAAGAGGGCTGCTTTAAGGGACTTAGGGCACCAGTTCCAGCCAAGTCACTATTTGACTCCAAAATCATTGACAAGTCTACCTATGATTTGCTGGAACAAGGTAAAAAGACTCCAAAAGAGGTCAGCAAAAACACTTCAGTCAACAAGTATCTCCAAGGCTCTGAGAGCATTGCTGGAGTTTACCTTGAGCCTACAAAAGAGAAAGTTAGCATCTACCAAGCAATGAAAAAGAAATTCCTCAGACAGAACACTGGTATTGCCTTGCTTGAAGCTCAAGCTGCCTCAGGATTCATTGTGGATCCATCAAGAAATGAATGTCTCACTGTGGATGATGCCGTTAAAGCAGGTCTTGTTGGTCCGGAGCTTCATGAGAAACTTCTCTCTGCTGAAAAAGTTGTCACTGGATATAAAGACCCATTCACAGGCAATAAGATCTCCCTATATCAAGCAATGGAGAAAGACCTTATCCCCAAAGAACATGCCATGCCACTCTTGGAGGCCCAGTTGGCATCTGGTGGAATTATTGATCCAGTAAACAGTCATCGTATTCCTGTTGAGACTGCAATCCAGCGTGGATATGTTACCAAACAGCTGGCCAGCAGCATTGCTGAAAGCAAGTACTTCTCTGACCCTGCATCTGATGAAAGCATATCATACAAACAGTTGAAAGACAAGTGTATGGCTGATCCTGATACAGGCTTAAATCTACTAAAGCTCTCCAAACCACAGGCCCCAACGGTTGTGGAGAAGACGTACCTTTACAGTGAAGAACAAACCCAGAGTGATCTATCTAATACCCAGATTGATATACCCATTGAAGGTCAGGGCTCTATGTCTCTCTGGGATATCATGAATTCAAATCTACTACCTGAAGATCAGAGGGCTCGGCTTCTAGAAGAATATCGCTCTGGTAATTTAACAAAGGAACGAATGATAATCATTATAATTGAGATTCTGGAGCAGAAAGAAATCATTAAAGAGGGGAACACCCAGACCGGCAGCACAAGAAGACGTCAAATCACTATTGAAGATCTGTACAATGCCCGCATCATCGACCTTGAGACTTACAACCTGCTGAAGAAAGAGAATAAGACTTTGCGTGATGTCATGGAAATGCAAAGTGTTAAGCAGTATTTGTATGGAACTGGCAGTGTTGCTGGTGTGTTGACTGATTCAAATTCCAAGATCAGCATTTATCAAGCAATGAAGAGAGAGCTGATGAAGCCAGACATTGCAATTGCCCTCTTGGAGGCTCAAGCAGCCACTGGATTCATTATTGATCCTGTCAGGAATGAAATGCTCACTGTAGATGAAGCAGTGCGCAAAGGTGTGGTGGGCCCAGAACTTCATGATAAGCTCCTGTCTGCAGAGAGAGCAGTCACTGGCTATAAGGATCCATATAGTGGAAAGGTTGTCTCCCTCTTCCAAGCAATGAAAAAGGACCTTGTCCCAGAGGACTATGCTCTAAGGCTTCTTGAAGCTCAGGCAGCAACAGGCGGTATCATTGATCCAGAATATAACTTCCACTTGCCAACAGAGATTGCCACACAACGTGGACATATTAACAAAGAGACAAATGAAAAGCTCTCCGATGAGCTCAAAGGATATGTCGACCCATTGACTGATGAAAACGTTTCATATTCTCAGCTTCTGAAAAGATGCAAGTTAGACAAAGATGGTGTATATCTGTTGTCTCTAGGAGAGAGAAGACTGCTCTTCAAAGGTCTCAGAAAAGAAATAACAATAGAAGAGTTATTCCGCTCAAAAATCATTGATGAACAAACAGTCAGCAAACTTAATGAGGGACTACTAACAGTGGAGGAGGTGAGCAATAGCTTGCGAAAATATCTTGAGGGCTCAAGCTGTATTGCTGGTGTGTTTGTGGAGTCTACTAAAGACCGTCTATCTATCTACCAAGCCATGAAAAAGAATATGATCAGGCCAGGCACTGCTTTCGAGTTGCTGGAAGCTCAAGCAGCCACAGGTTATATCATTGATCCTATCAAGAACCTCAAGTTAACTGTAAATGAAGCAGGCAAGATGGGAATCGTCGGCCCGGAGTTCAAAGACAAGCTCCTGTCTGCCGAGAGGGCTGTGACTGGCTATAGAGATCCTTATACAGGCAAAATGATCTCCCTGTTCCAGGCTATGAAAAAGGGCCTGATTTTGAGAGACCATGGAATTCGCCTTCTTGAGGCCCAGATTGCTACTGGAGGAATCATTGACCCAGAGCAGAGTCACCGATTGCCAGTTGAAGTGGCCTACAACCGAGGCTTTTTTGATGAGGAGATGAATGAGATCCTCAGTGACCCATCAGATGACACGAAGGGCTTCTTTGACCCAAACACCGAGGAGAATCTTACCTACCTGCAACTGATGGACAGGTGTATAGTCGACCCAGACACAGGTCTTGTGCTCTTGCTTCTTAAAGAAAAGAAACGTGAGACAAAGACTTCGTCCAAATCCTCAGTTCGTAAACGCAGAGTCGTCATTGTAGATCCAGACTCAGGCAAAGAAATGTCTGTGTATGAAGCCTACCGCAAAGGGCTAATTGACCATCAGACTTACATTGAACTTTCGGAGCAAGAGTGTGAATGGGAAGAAATCACAATGACATCGTCAGAAGGGGTAGAGAAGTCTATACTCATTGACCGGCGATCAGGTCGACAGTATGACATTGATGATTCTATTGCAAGAGGCCTTATTGACCAGAGTGCAATTGAGCAGTACCGCTCCGGCACCCTTTCTATCACAGAATTTGCTGATATGTTATCTGGAAACATGAGTGGCTTCCGTTCCCGATCATCTTCCTTTGGATCCACCTCCTCTTATCCAATGAGCCCTATACCTTCCATCAAAACTCCTGCAACTGTATGGAATGATCCAACTGAGGAGACCGGTCCTGTGGCTGGAATCCTTGATACAGATAGCCTAGAAAAAGTTTCCGTCACTGAAGCCATGCGTAGGAACTTAGTGGATTCTATAACTGGCCAGAGATTGTTGGAGGCACAGGCTTGCACTGGTGGCATAATAGACCCATCTACTGGAGAGAAATTCTCAGTTGCCGAAGCGACAGAGAAGGGTCTTATAGATAAGATAATGGTTGAGAGATTCAACTTAGCCCAAAAAGCTTTCCATGGATTTGAGGATCCTCGCACTAAAGTCAAAATGTCTGCTGCTCAGGCTCTCAAGAAAGGCTGGCTTTATTATGAGGCAGGGCAGCGTTTCCTGGAAGTGCAGTATCTCACTGGTGGCCTTATTGAGGCAGAGGCTGAGGGACGAATCTCCCTAGAGGAGGCAATCAGGAAAGGTTCTATTGATGGCCGTACAGCACAAAAGCTCCGAGATGTGAGTGCTTACACAAAATATCTTACATGTCCCAAAACCAAGCTGAAGATCTCCTACAAAGATGCTATGGACAGAAGCATGGTTGAAGAGGGATCTGGCCTTAGGCTACTGGAAGCTTCATCAACATCCAGTAAAGGTCTCTACAGTCCCTACAATGTCAGTGGCGCCGCATCTGCTTCTGGTTCTCGGTCTGGATCCAGGACAGGCTCTAGGTCAGGTTCAAGAAGAGGGAGCATTGATGCTACTGGCTCTGGATTCAGCATGAACTTCTCATCATCCTCATATACTTCCTCTGGTTACAGCCGCAGATTTTAAAGCTGGACCTCATAACAAACCTAACACATGGTCCTGCAGCTTTCATATCAGTGCTGACTCTATACACTACAGTTACATAATACACAGAAATTAATTAGAGAAAAAAATAATCACTTTATTCTGCTTTGCATGTGTTTGGTATAGGAAAATGCATTCCAAAAACTACCAGTATATTTTTGTCTGATGATGGTTAAATTCCCATTGTATGTATTTTGGATGCTTAATAACTATTACATGGTTAATCAAGTTGTCTATTCTTGGTTTATTTCAGTTCATACAGATATTACATAGTTTGAAAGTGATAATTTTCATTTCTTATTTTATACTTAAGTACAGCATTTAAATTCAGGAAATGTAAAAAAAAAAAAAAAAAAATTAGATTTTTTTTTTTTTAATCAAACTAACTAGTCTGTATTTAATATCACTTATTATTGCATTTCTACATGTTATTTTAGGAAATTATTTTTATACTTTGGTTTATTTCAGGATAATGTACCAGAAAATATACCAGGTTTTACAAAAAAGAAATTAGATTAACAAAGAGTGTGATTATTTTACATATTTGTATAGATTTGATAGATGGATACATTAGAGGCTGCTAGACATCTTATCAAAAAAAAGTTGCAGCTTGTTTCACAGAATGTAAAACAAAACTACACCTATTCATAAACATACATAAACATTAAAGGAGGAGCAAGCACTTTGTACAACAAGCCAATTTTACTGTCCCCTGACACTGGATGTTTTTTTTGTTATGAAAGTCAGTTTTTCATTTACTGGATCCAGTCCCTCTGCAAAGTCCTTTTTAAAACTCCTGACTACCCTATAAAGGAGTCCTCAAGGTCCAGTTTTACTGTTATTCCTCCACTGATGTGATATCCAATGAAGATTTCAGATGGCTCAGGTGTCTGATCCATTCCTCACTCATAACATCTGGACAGATCTGGATGAAATATAGTACTTGTAAGTTGAACTAAATTTACATTTATTGCCGCTGTTTCCTAATGACCACACTGATTTTACTTTTCCAAAATCTTTTTGTTTTAACACCTATTTTACTCAGTTCTACCACTGTGCTTTCAAAAACAGCTACTGTAGAAGACGTTTATGCAATCTTGAGAAGCTTCCTTTTTAATAAGTTGAATGGCATACTATATGTCTGCTTTTTCCAAAGGATTTTCTTGACAGCATTAAGCCATATAATAGTTCTTGTGTCATTTATAGTGTGGGTTTTGTCATGTTTTTTTCTCCCGCAGAGATCATCAGTTACTAGATACCGACAACTTGATGATTCCACACATTTGGTCTTGGATCTTGAGATAAATGATGCTCATCAGCAGCCCACATCCTTAGACATTCAGGTATTTATTAAAAATTCACCAGCTCTCTATGATTTTGCATTGTATGTACCTACTGTATGTTTGATACCAAGTATATTTTTGTTTCCCTTCATTCACTGTTTTGTTTCCCTTTTGTCATTTTGTTGCTTCATAGTATATTTTTAATGTTGTTTTTAGAGCCTCACTGAGGGTTTCCTCCTACCTTTGCATCTGCCATTTGCATGAAGACACTAGAGGCTAGGGCTACCTTGAAGTTTGCCTTGGATATCATATCAAGAACTGACACTTTAGTGGACTGCTCCTGTTTTCATCAGCTTGGAGCTGGACTTTGGAGTTTACACAAAATCATTCAAAACAACAAAAGAATTGGATCCATTAAATTGATCTTAATGTGGAATTTTTATGTAGAATCTCCGAGTTCTACTGCCTACATTGTTTTTAGCCCCAACATGAGTTTTTTTTTAAATAAAACACTCAATGCATTAGATACAATGTGCAAACCCTTGTATTGCATTACACATTTACATAATACAAATAAATGCAGATTACATCTTTGACTGAATGTATTTTGGCTCATTTAGTGTAAGGCAATTTAATTTTTCATTTGTACATTTCCTGTGCCAAAAAACATGTTTTGGTCATTTGTTGCCTCCCATGTATTTCTTTGCTTGTTTTTTTTATATTAATTGTACTGTTGTGTCTTTTGAAAGTACTTGACTTTTTTATTTTCTTTTATTTTTTAAATTTCTTGATGTATATGTAAAATATTTTTTGTTTATAAAATATTTTTGCATGTTTTACTGACTTGCTATAAAGTGTTCTAAAAAGATGAAGAATAGATTTTTGAATTTACACCAATATATGGAAGATTTTATGAGTAAAGGATGTATGAAATACTAACTGGTGGATGAACTTTTACCTTAAGAGATACTGGTAATAAAGAGTGAGTTAATAACACTATACTCAAGAGTAAATAAATATATTTTGGAAAGATCAGTTCCAGACTTTGTACAGTTTGTGTTTTATCTTGTGTTTAATCTAATCGATCATTCATAGCACTATGACATTCCAATAAACAGTAAAGTACACCTATTTTTAGCAGTCATGTATCAGAATACTTTTACAAAGCGAGCCCTTAAGGTGAGTAATCACCAGACTGTTTAAACATACAGACAGGAAGTGTGATGCAGATGATGGTGTTGATTAGAGAAACAGTCAGTATTCAGTGGAGGCTGTCCTCTGGTGGTAGGGAGGTTGAATGACAGGCTCAGATGACATTATGTTACATCTGTAGGCTGGAAGACAGAACCCAGAGGGAGACACATTTATGGATGGCCTGCCTTTGTGCCATTACACTGCCGACAGCCTCTCTGGACCTCCTGCATTAACTGTGCCCATGCCGTGCCTTTCTCCGCATGATGGCAGTTCTACGGTATGTCTTCAGATCAGCAGAGAGATAGAATTACATAAAAAGCTAATAAGCTAGCTGAAAATATTTAATATGCAAATAATATTGAATTGCAAATTAATCAATAAGTATGTGCTTGTTAATAATAAGTGTGTGTTCGGTTGGTGTCCCTCTGTTTCAGGAAGCAGCTGCACAGAAAAGAAGACAGTATGGGTAAACAAAACATATACTGTCCATTTTTCATTTTATATTTTAATTTAATAATAAAGCCCATATATTTTTCAATTTAATTCCACAAATGTAATGCATTCAGGCTGTAGGTCGTGTCTAAGCTAACATCTAATAGTGTTTATAGTTATTATATTATATTATATTATATTATATATGATATATCATATCATATATCATATCATATCATATCATATCATATTATATTATATTATGGGGTAGGGGAGTTATGTTATCATGAATAGGTTTCACCTAAATATGTCAGTCTTTTTTCCATTCAATTCTTCATCACAGTTATTTGATTTTTGATATAGGCTTTAACCAATTCATGGAGCTTTCACCTAAACTACCTATATATAGGTAATACATATTAACATATTAATATTACTGACATGTTGAAAATGCAAGCTCTGCTACTGGTGATTGTATTAAAATAGACAGTTCCGTCCTGGAAACTCCAAACTGTATTTCACATTGTGCTAAAATCCATGATATAACAGCTAAGATATGATACACCTGCTAACCATATGCTTGCTAAAAATCCAGATTAAACTAAACTAGACTGATTCGCTGGTCTTAGCTGGGCGCTTTTCAGCTGCTGAAACTGGGAGACCAGCTAGACTACTCAAGTCCATACAAAACCAGCTAAGACCAGCGAACCATCTCAAGCTGTTGTTTTTCTTCTTCTTCCAACAGGACATATCAAATATGATAAATATGCAAGATAACATGATAAATATGAAAGATGACATTTGATGAATTAATTTGTGGCCTGTGTGTGTTTTATTGGGTTTGTGTGTTTGTGTTAAATTAATAAGGCACCGAAGTTGTGCCGAATATAGTCACTTCTGTCATGTCTAACAATCTAACTACATTCGCAATACAGCACAACCTTGTGTACATTGCTGCGTAATTCTGTATTTAATTCTATTCTATTCTATTCTGTTCCATTATGACACACTAAAGGGCCAAAATGTTGTTTCTTTTGTGAGTAATAAGGAACAGAATAAGTACAGACACTAGTCAACAAAACAGACAACAATAGACAAATATTGATAACATATAAAGACACAAGAAACACTATAACACTATAATGTCAGTAAGACATTTGGACATGCCTACTCATCCTGTATGGTTATTTTATAAATTTAAGAGCAACAGTAAAACAAATAGAAGTATCATTCTGATGTAGTGACCAAAACAGGTGACTCCAGTGAAAACTATACAGTATATTTGAGATAAACATTTTGAGCTTCTGTCTTCTTGTTTGTCTAGACTCCAGCTCTGCTCACTCCACGCAGTGAAGTGTGAATGTGTTCTTGTACTGTTGCTAGGATGGATTCAGAGGAGTGGAGTCAGTGGCAGAGTGAGTTCAGAGGGCAGATCAGGGCTCTGCGACACTGGCTGAAGACCATGGAGAAGAGACTCCCTCCACCGGATCCTGCTGTGAGTCTCTCACAGACACTGGGGCCCAAGTCTGAGGACACTTACATTTACATTTACATTTACATTAAGTCATTTAGCAGATGCTTTTATCCAAAGCGACTTACAAATGAGGACAATAAAAGCAGTCAAAACTAACAAAAGAGCAACAATATATAAGTGCAAATGATAAGTCTTGGTTAGCCTAATGCAGTACACGTAGCAAGGTGTATATATATATATATATATATATAGTGCTAGAGTTAGAGGGTCAAATAAAGATGGAACAGATGTGTTTTAAGTCGTTTCTTGAAGATGGCTAAGGACTCAGCTGCTCGGATTGTTCAATAGTAGTTCATTCCACCACGAGGGAACAGTTAATGTAAAAGTCCGTGAAAGTGATTTTGTGCCTCTTTGAGATTCACAAGACTCACTTCTAAAATGCTTCTGTTTTAAAATATAATACTATTTAATAACAAAATTCTGCTGATTCGCAAAAAAAGGCCTGATGTTACCTAATTTGATGATGCTGAGTGCAAAAATACCAGTAAAAACTTTCCATCACATACGGTTTCTGCAAAGGGAAAAAAAGGGAAAAGGGAAATCCAGCTTAGGCATAAAATAGTGTCTTCAGATTCATTCATACATGTGAAAATGAGCTGAGAATTGAACAGATAGTTGTAATCTGGCTCAGAGATAGACAGGAATCATGTCTTTGTGGCAGATTTTTCCACTGATAAGTAATCATACAAGACTTATTCACCTTACAAATGGTTGTTGAATGCAAAATTGCTGTGTAATGCATCATATTTTGTGAGAAAGTGTGACATGCTTAAGCAAAACAGGCAGTATTTTTGGAATCAGCACCCCAAGATTAGTAAGAAACAACCATTTGATTTTCTTCATGCAAATATGATGCAGGGCAGTGTTTTCTCTTTTAGACCTCTGGATCCCCCTTCACACCTTCATGGCCATTATTTCATTTTCTACTGTTACTCGTTATACAACAGCTTTTTATTTGAATACTGAATAAGCTCAAGTTTCTTTTGTGCCATTATTGAGACAGCCTTTGACCGTCTCCACCCAGGCTTTTCATCCTTTTGTCTTGTGATGAAGCATAACGTCTCATTTCTCATGACATCATACTGTAAGGAGATGAAGATTAAGGTTTGGAGAAAAGTGGAGAGACATTTATGCCATGTGGCTTATATCTTCAGATTTAAAACTAATGATCCTAAAAACAAAATGTAAGAATGTGAATATATGTTTTGTTTTGTTTTCATTTGTCTTTTTTTTTTTTATAAGCATGAAATATTCTTATAACATGACCACCTGGATAAAACTACATGAAAAAAAAAACCTCCTATCCCATGCACATCCGGAATATGCAGACCTCTTTGCTGAGTGGTAATTGTGTGGGCAGGGGCCGTTTTTGATGAGAAAAAAGCTGATCAAAGGCAGCGATGTGAGGCTTGTCCCCATGGTGCTGGGGTAAGCATCCCTATTAAATATGCTCAAAGAATATGCTTGAGCTATAGCCATAAATCCCAAAGCCCCGGAGGGCCGTCCTGCGAGAGGAGAGCGAGGCGCAGCTCCTCAGAGGAGAGCTCTTTTGTGTTGAGGCTGGTCGAGGAGAGCGGGGTGCAGGTTTGTGTTGGGGCCCCGCGCACACATGAGAGAGCACTCTGAAAGCACATTAGACTCCGATGAGACGCTGATGGACCGTCATCTTACAGTGGATGTTCTCTTATCTGTCCACAATGGAAATGTTGTAACACTCCTCTCTGTTTTATCTCTTCACTGTCTCACTCACATCAACAGTAATTGAGCCGTCCACTGCCAGACTTGGACTAGTTTTGTACAACAGAGGAACATATGGAAGCTTATTTCTGCCAAGGAATAAATAAAAAAAAAAAGTAATAGCAACTCTTTAGCTCACAATTGTGAGAAATAAACTCAGATTTCAGAATTATGAGTTATAAAATCACATTTACAAGAAAAACGTCAAGCCTGTTTCCACCAAGGAATGCAAAAAAATAAAAAGGTAAACTTTTTAACTCACAATTTTGACTATTTTTCCTCACAATTCATAGTTTATATCTCAGAATTCAGATTTTTTTTTCCTCACAACTCTGTTTTTCATCTCACAATTATGAATTGCGAAAAAAAAAAAAAGTCAGAATTGCAGGAAATTCGATTTTTGTGATAAAAGTTGCAATTATGTTTTATATTTTTTATTCTGTGGTGAAAACCTACAGTATGGAAGCCTGTTTCCGCCACTGAATAAAAAATAAATAAATAAAAAGGTAATTGCGACTTCTTATTTCACAATTCTGACTTTTTTCTCACAATTGCGAGTTTGTATCTCACATATCTGACTTTTTTTTCTTAGAACTGCGTGAAATAAACTCACAATTCAGATTTTTTTCGGAGAATTGCGAGTTTATATCTTACAATTCTGACTTTTTTTCTCAAAATTGCAGAAAAGTTGACAAGCAATTGTGAGATATAAAAAAGTCGCTCTTTTTTATCAGAATTTGATTTTATAACTCACAATTGCGATTTTATGTCACAAAAAATAAAAAGAAAAGAAAAACGACAGAATTGCGAGAAAAATCCCCTTCAAATCACGCTGCCATGATGCTAAGCTGCTGAGGATGGTTGGCAGGGTGTTGCTATGCAGTTGTTAAGGTGTTCTGATTGGGTTTTAAGCAGGTTGCTATGTGGTTGCCGAGGTGTTCTGTGTGGTGGCTTGCTGGTCCCAGTCAAAAGAGTTTCTGTGATCTTCTGGTCTGGTTCTTAAATATGGCCTCCATCTGTGTCAGTCTATGGGATTGTTGCAAGCATATTGTTGGGATTTTCACCTGTTGTTTTGTTTGCAGGTGAATAAGTCTGATCACTTAAAGTAACAGCACATCTCTCCTCAACGACACACATGATTTGAGGAATCATTTGTCTGGATCACAAATGCTGCCTAATGAGTAACATATCAACAGCTAAAACGTATTATTAGCATGAGTATGAGCTTTGTCAC